ATGTAATATATATCAAAAAGAATGAATGTAAAATGTATCAAATAGTTCATTATAAAATATCTCAAATATAAGCACCTGCAATATAACGCGAGGTTCACAAGTACAGCGCCTTGCAATACAAATAATCATACAATGCATGTTAAATATAAGTCCCTCTATATATAAAACATATTGTAAATGCAATATATCGCGATGTAACACGTGGTCATATAACAAACAGCAATAAAATTCCTAGTTGCTTTTATTTTCACGTTACGTTATAGTTCTATATTAAATCCACCTCTCACGTGTTACATACGTGTAAAAAATAATATACAAATGAAAATACTTGAAAAATTCAACAATATAACCGCATTCCAAAAATGAATGAGTTGGAAGAATACCTTCCAAAACACGTATTCTCACGTTACATTTAAGTTTCAAGAATTAACTTCTGTGACCTACTTTTTGAGGTTCCGTTAGATTTCACGGATTTAAATGACCCGCTTAGAGAAACTCGAAAATTCCATCGAGAATGAGTCGGACCAAATTATACGTTAACGAAAGTGTGCCCGTGACCGACGAAAAAGTGAAATGTTTCGAACCTGACATAAATATTTATCCGAACCTTTGTACACGTTGATAAATGTCGACAAAGATGGTGATAACACGTGCCATATTATTTCTCATTACTTGGTAAGGTAATGAAACCCTTACTATGCTGAAACGTTTAGGGTGACTTAAAAATAAGAAAGATATCAAATATAAAAATTCTTAAATTTTCTAAATGTCTCAGCTCCAAAATTTCCAAATTTTCAACACCTTGAATTGTCAAATATTTTAATTTCTGAATCTTGAAATGTGTAAGATCAGTAAATCTCCGAATTTACGAGATTCTAAATTCTCGAGACACACCCGTTAGAGGTTCATCGTACGTAAAGGTTTAACGCGACCTAATTTATGCAACGTGCACCAGTAACAGGTACACACGTTAGCCCTGCTGAACTGGATCTACTGGTTTCACGAAACAAACGAACCGGACTAACGTAACAATCCGGAAACGACAGCCTGTTCTGTCCTGAAGATACGCTATATACACGTGTCGTTGCATCGTGTTTGTTTACGTGATACCATGGAAAAACTAGTACCGTAATTGAACTGGCGTTCAATAAAGGCTGGCTTTATTTCTTAGTCACAGCTGATGACTAACGATGCCCTTGGTCGTTGGGTTCGCTTTGGGAAATTAGCTTGATGACCTGGCAGAGTCCGACTACCATAAACTTTACGAGTCCGCCGTCCTTTTAGCGATCGTAGGTTACTCACTGCCAACCGATAAACGTGACAGCTAAAAATGAAACGTATTTTTGGAAAGGCTCTTTGTCATCGAATTGATGTAGAAACAATACTTCCTCAAATAATTCCCCTATTTTAGACGAAACGAGATGTCCTTTGTTAAATATCTAAAAATATCACGGTTATTTATATGTAGTTATTAGGCTTAAGAAGCTATGGAGTTTCGTTCGAATTTATAATAACCATTGACGTTATACTCGCGAGGATGTTCCCCAGTTAATTAATTCAAAAATATAAGAATCCATATAAAAATGGGGACAAAAGAATCTCCTTTCCAAATCATATTCCCAAACTCGCAAGTCCTCAAATTCCCAAATTGCCAATAAATATTTCAATAGATTTCACCAGCGTGCTGCAGCCCCGTAGACAACGCATGAAGCGCTGAACACCCGATGAGAACCCGACAACGAAGGCGCCCCTTCTTTTTTTAGGGATCCCACAGTACCTGAGGACGATTGTTGCTTCGTGGAGAGAGTAAGGCCAGGACCAGCCCTCGAGGTCTGGCCACAATATCCATCATTATGGGGGAGAGGAAGGGAATGTCGGGGATGTTCGTCGTCTCTGTAATTCGCTGTTGCGGTATGCGGGCATGGTGACGCATACGGGCTACGTTTCTGAACCCGTACGTTCATTTCGCACGGGAGAAAGAAATTCACCGTCGAAAAACGAATCCCTTAAGTTCGCCTACGTTCTCAACCTCTTTTGTCGTCGTATGCGGGCGAGTACATGTGTGGTTTATGATTAAAGTGAAAGACAACCGGATTAATGTAGTTAATGACGCTTTTATAGTACTATTTTTCTATAAATGGTACTTTTGGTATTTTCAAGAGATTAACGAATATTAGGTTCCTTAAGTTCACCTATGTTCTGAACCTCCTTTGTCATCGTATGCGGGCGAGTACATGTGTGGTTTATGATTAAAGTGGGACCGTAAGGATTGATGCCAGTTAATGACGCTTTTATGGTGCTATTTTTCTACAAACGGTTTTGGTATTCTCAAGAGATTAAAGCCCACGATCTGAAACCTATTGTATTGTCTGTTTAAGCTCCGCTGTTTAGATCACTAATATGAAATTTCGTATTGCAAGAAGCCTTGAATCGATGAAAGAAAATTTCTCAAGGTATTAAGTGGAGGGTTCACGTTAGGTCAGAAAGTCAGTTCGAGAGATTACTTTACAGGACAGGGACCCTTCCAAGGATACACGAACCGTAGGTACCGTTCGGGCGATGTCCACTTCCTGAAAAACCCAGGTGGACCTGCGGCCTTTCTTTGGTTACCACCTGCCTGCTCGCTCTACCTGGGTCTCTCATCGCAACAGGCTTGCCTGAGAATATCTTATGGAAAGCAGGCTTATTTCGAAACGCTTGGCCTGTAATTCTATGCGACTGATAAACTTTCGATTCCCCAGCGTTAAAACTGACCGGAAGTCAATTTACAAAGAAAATGTTCGTCCGAATAAAATATAAATATGTGTATTGGGCTGTGTTAAAATTTACTTAGACGCTAACTGATGATCTGTGAAATGCAGTGACCTTGTATCTAGATTCCCTCATCCAAACCGAAATATCGAAATTCCAAAGTCCCAATAATCCCAGACCGTCCCAAAGTCCCATCTTCTTATAATACAAAGTCTCAATCTCCCAAAATCCCATCTCAGTAAATCACTCCTTTGTGACGAATATTTCAAGATAGTAAAATAAATTTTACCTTCACTTCGAAATATTTTACAGTCCAATATCGAACGGGACCCACCCAAAATCAGCGTGTCCCGGACTTTGGAGATCCACAAGATGGACATAACTAAAAATTACGCTAACCGTTCGTGCTCCAATAAAGGCTGTATTAATTTCATTCAACTGGTACGCATTTTAATTACAACGCGGTCAATTTCATCAACGGGATGGCTACGGTAATTCGATTCATAGAACAGTTTTCGAAACGAAAGTAATATACATATGTACGTCGGAGTAAGAATATACCTGTTAACTAACCTTTCGGCTGCGTGTCAGTCGGTCACGCACACGAACACATTGAGCGCCTTGCTTAGTTTACTACGCCGAAATAAGAACGCCAAACAACGTTGGAGCGGATTTTTAAAACGGAACGAACCTCGTATCGGGACTATCTTCAGTGGAGACGGAGCCCCGTATCGGGTCAAGCGGGCATCGAATGAAATTTAAATGGCGCTATCTGACAGAACCGCAAATATTTGTCGAGATTTCTCACGCGTTCGTTCGATCGCGGCCAACTTCACTGTCTACGCTACGATAACCGGTGAATGACACTCGTGGAAACGTCTTCGATCGTCGAAGCAAATATTCGTAGATAATACACGCGTTGACTTCGATAAAACATTTTTCAGATCGCTCACCGTCCCTTTTTACGATTCAGTGGTGTATTATATGTGACAATCTCGTCCTTCGTCCGTGAGAAGGAAAACAAACGATGTATCGGGAGTACGCGTGTGAACGTAACTTTACATACATTGTATCGATGTTTCTCCGTAACGTTTTTACCGCAACACAAAGCAAAAGACCTTGAGCAACTGACACAGACACTTCGAAAGAGATAGCCGATAGATTTGAAACGTTGAAAAATACGTAACTATCTTGCACGGGGAGTAGCGTGTTTCGTTCGCTGGCAAAGAGATAAGTGCATCGCACGATATTCCCTGGTTAAGTCTGTTTGTTCGAAACGCGTGACTCGCATGGAGTTCGAGAGAAGCGCCGACTACGTAGCGAGAAAGAATCGAACGGAACGATCATCGATAGATAACCACGGTATAAAAAAGGAAACACGACAACGCTACGCGTCAGCCTAACTCCCGGACGGCCGAGACAATCGGACGAAACCTGCACGATGCATCGACCAAAATTAATTTACATATTTCAAAGTCGCGATCGAAAAAACTCTAATGTATCTTACGTGTGAAAATGATAGCAAGAAATTAATTAGCGCGAACGAAAACGAATTTGAAATTGTAATGAGACATAAATTTGAAATCACGCGTTAGCAAAAGTCTCGTTGTTTGTAAGTGGTGCGTACAAAGGAAAGCATTTCCGGTATACGTTCCGCGAGATATGAAATGCCCGCCGGAGGGCGTATCGATTCGGATAAAACATTCGTGGCCAAGTGTACTGTTTCTGAGCGTGCACTCGACTATTCGTACGATGTTCGCCTTTTTTGTCGTACATCTACTCCGGCAACGTTCCGAGCGGCCGACGATTCGGTCTTTGTCGAAAGAAGAACGGCAGAAGGAAGTTTTTCCTACCGTATGGGGTAACACTCCCGCGTCGCTGTCATGCCTCGATGTCACGATTGCTGTATGCGACCGGTTGAATACACAGACCACGACGACAGTATCAAACGCGCATACACACTGTGACACCGTAGAAGGCACACGCATGTATGTACGCACCCGCGCACCAGAGCACACACGCGCGCGTACCGTGAATCAACCACCACCGCGCGCTTTACCACGAAACGCACAACCTCACCCGTTGGTGGCGCGCGACAGACTGAGACGAAACGCGCCGCGCGAGAATGGAAGGGGTGGGAGCCGAGTGGTGGGGGAACGCCACTGATGGTGGGGGAGACCCGTCGCAGGTCCGTACCATGCGACCACGGTGCCCCGGCCCTTTCGCTACGACTACGATACGGTCGATAAATGCTCCGTCGACGGGGGTCGATTAGATTTAACGTTACGCTTTTTTCCGTTAGGATTATCTGTATTTGCGAACATGGAAGGTTAAATAATGAAAGGTACCGATTCATTTACTATCTTCGCAGATTATCGGAACGGACATTTGTAAGAGATTGAACAGTAAAACGGTTATATTGTTTGGAAATAATATTGTTACGAAATAATTCCACCTTCGCAAATTTACAGTTATACGTGTTAAGTTAGATTACATCTGTTCTTGGTAACGGAGCAGGATAATAAATGTGCTCGTTGCACTTTTTTTTCCCGTATCAATAACAAGATTATCGCAATATTTTCTAATAATTGTTGACAACGAGGCTCCATCCGCCGATCGAGAATTGATCCTATTCTGATGTAACATCGCGAACGTTTCTCAGCAACAAATGGGAAAAGAATAATTGATCTATCGCGTAATCTATACGTTCGTGTGTACGCAATAACGTTATCGATCGAAAGTAAACGTAAAGTCTAGTGACGGTGCTAGTAGGTAAGAGTAGATCGAACGGAATACCGTACGTCTTTACGCGTCACCTACTTCGATACGAATCGGGTATGATTTGTTTAAAAAAATTACCCATTGTCGTAACCATGGTATCGCGCTGTACCATACATCCCTGAGTCCTACGGGGTTTAATATCGTGAAGGGTAGTCGAGAGGAAGGAAGATAGGGGCGACCCTAAAGCGAGGGAGTGCTGATGCTAAAGCTGCGAGCACGAAGGGACCTTCAAATAAAAAAAGGTAGGACCTACCGAGCGAGCGAGCGAACCAGCGAGAGAAAACGGGAGAGAAAATCCGGTCCCCCTTCTTTCGAGACCAGGGAAAGGCCGCACCCACTCGGTTCTTGAAGATCATACTGGGTCCCCGCTGGCACAGCCCTGAGCATGTAAGTAAACACGCCAAAGTTCTGGTGCCTCGACATGCAGCCAACATTTTCCACGAGGTTGGATATCCGTGAACGAGTGGTCACTCGCGTAGACGGAACCTCGAAGACCCTCGGTTGCGAAGAACGAAAGAAGAACGCAAATTAGGTATAAACCTTTTGAAATTCAACCAGAGAAATTCGAATACTTTCTAACACGGGAAGAGCATCGAAGGGACGAACAAGAGCCGTGCAAGTCTGACCATTGTTACTCCGATCACACGATGCTTGCACAACGTCCACGAAGTTGCGTTATGAGGCAGCAATAGCTTCTCCTCGTGTTTAAAGCGAATTCGTGTCGTCTGCGTCATAACGTTATATTATAACGTTATTTGAATGTAAGATAATCAGAATGCATACGCTTGGCCAGCAAGTTGGTCACTCTTAGGTTAAGCCAAAGTCAACACGTGGCAACACCGCGCTACAGCTGTCATACGCGTCATGCATCGAGCCAAAGCTCAACTTATTCAATGTACGACAGACATACGTATTTTATAAGAGTTGCTACATTCTTTTTCTGTCGAAACAACGCCGTTCGAACTTCGACGACTGTTCGATCGTGGAGAAAAATTATTCCTCCGTCAAGGAACAGTGTCGTACGATTTGGGATACCCCGGTGTTCCCTCGTAACATTCTCATGCCATCCGCTTCCCTCTCCCAAAATCCCAGACGGGAAAGTGAGTTTCGGAACATGATTGTTAATTTTACGTAACGTACAGCTTGCTTGCTAGGAACAAGTTTCCCCTCCTGCTTTTACCCAGATCTCTATCCAATACCGGACTCGAATTTTCTGGGCTTCAATTTCCCAGAGACGCTTTGAAGGTGCAAGTATTACTACCGAAATCTATTCATTTGGATATAATCTCGATTTCGAACCAGAATGATTTAAAGTGCAACGATAAAATTCTGTCTATAGGCCACTTGATATTTATCGATATATGGAATTGTTGATAACATAACTCTCAATAACAACGGCTCTAAAACGAAAGAAAGGCCGAAAAAGAAGTTGTTAATTGTTGTTTAGGCGCGACCCAATATGGGTGCAGCTATATTAACTTTACGACAGGAGAAAGAGGGAACCGGGAGGAAAACAAAGAGAGAACGACAACGAGAGAGAGGATGAAGGGATAGGGTTAGTCTGTATCAACCGTGCACCCTTATCAATTGGAAAATTGGTGCGTGCAGTGGGAGCGGAAGAGGAGGAGACTCGACTATGTTCAGCGTTGGAGGGGAGAGAGGAACGATTAGGTTTACGCGCCTGCCAGGGACGTACGTACCGAAGGGGCCTCGTAGCTACGGTACGATATCGGGTTCAGTTTGTTTTAACGATCTGCATTGTCTATGCACCCTCACGAATTAGGAATTTCAAACCGGCTACCCGATGAGCTGGTGGCAAGAAGGGTGCTCGTACAAAAGCCAGGGGCGTATCCAAGGAATAGAAGGGGGCCTTTGTGTGTACGTTGAGAGAATCAAAAGAACCAGCAAGTGAATCAGCGAAAGAGAACGAGGGGAATGGTGACGGACGGAAAAGAGGGAGGAAGAAGAGTGACGAGGCGCTTAGGGCGCATGCGTCACTCGTCGTGGGCGTCGGGAATGTGTTGACACGAGAAGCCGAGAGAACGCTGTGCCTCACTAATGCCACGACGCCCGTGTTATCGTCGATACGGTTCCCGTACTGCGGGCTCGCCTTGTCCTCAGAAAATCTGGGTCTTCGACTTCCATCCTAACGACGAAATCGGGGCTCTGTTGTTGACGAGGCTCCAATCGACTCTATCGCTACCAATGATTCAGAAATTGCTGCGTACATGATAAACCTGATAAATGTAAATAACTCCAGTATTTTTTCAAATATTTTACTTTGTCGACTACTGTAGACTTCAGAACTCCAGAACTTCAGAAAGCGAACAATGTTTTCAGAAATGCTTTTACCCATAAAATTTTAGAAAGTCCATAATTATACGTACATTTCGTGGACCTGTATTCACCGAAACATTAATTATTTTGTGAAGACTCCGTCAACTTAAATTGGCTATAGAGTTCATCATTTCTAATATAACTTTTCTCGATGTTCGTCGTTGTTAAGGACCTATTTTTCATGAAACTTTTATCCGATGTTTAGAGACTCGTATAACAATTTTCAAAGTTGGCACGAGGCTATAGGGAATGGTGTTTCGTAGAAATATATGTTGCTCTCCACGCAGTAAATTTCTATGAGGTTATGTTCGGTCGAAGCTGCTACCAGAGACAACCATATAACTACACTGTCATTATTTTCATGATGCTTTAGATACAATAAATAAAGGTAAGCAAATGTGATCTATAAAAACACATTTAGTAAATTGATAAACTGTTTGCTATGTTACAGGCGTAGTATCAAGGCTGTAGCTACAGTAAGTGAGGCCCAGAGCAAAAGTCAAAATGCAAATTTTTATAATCTCTCATCTGGTAAATTTATTAAACTACATTAGTCTTCTTTATTTATCATATTCGTTTGTTATAATGACCCTTACTTTGATTACTTCACTCATTTCTGAATTTTTCAGCGACGGAAATTAAAGTTTTGAAAAGAAGACAATAATGTGGTAGCACGTAAAAAATTTCAGTCACCATTATACTGCAACGTATGAACTTTTATGGACGAGAGTCTTGCACAACCACTGGTGAAAAATTCTATGCATTTATGAGTGCAGACTTTATAGAGAGCAGTAAGAAGAACACGATTGTTGCTTACAACTTCTGCTTATTTGAATAACTAAACGGCATGCTCGAATCTTCGCAATTCACAAACACATTATTTACATGACACTAAAACCTGACAGGTCTTGAAAGATGTATTAGTGTCCCAATTAACTAGACCAATTATTTTAAGTATTGGTAAAGAATATTTCAGTATTTATATTTAAGAAAGGAAGCTGGGTTATGGGGTTAGAAGTTACAAGGTCACCCTCATTTCTTTAAACTACATATTTTTTTCAAATCTATAGTTTCATCCTGTGTACAAATATAGTAGGATTATTTAGGAAATAAAGCTTGAGTTGCATCTGTACACATATACAAACTAAAGATACAATGTCATTACATGTCACATGCGTTTCATAAATCACTAATCATTAATTAGATATCGGCACTATTGCGACCATGAATGGGTGCGTTGAAGGTATAATTCGTTTAATCACAATATTCGTGTCCGTTATTTTTTTTCATCGCATGTATTGTCAGCAGTATGTATACACCGGGTACAATGTATTGCAGCTATTTTGCGCAAATACAATGAAAGAGGGAAGCCCGAAAACAGATTCAAAAGAAAGCTCTGCTACGTGTACGTACTTTCACCAACATGTGAATGCACGTCGGTATTTGCACATACAAATAAACCTACGACTCGTGTACGCATACATATGTGAATATATGTAGGTATATGTACATAGCTCTCGATACGAGCGAAATACGTAATAAAAAGGGAACGCATCGAAGAAAAATCGAAAGTATTACAGGTGCATCGAGTATACTAGCGAGCATCGTAGGCTTTCCTAGGAAAAGATTTGTGAATTTGATAAATTAGAGGATATGGGAATTTGGGAGGTTCGGTTTAGGGATTTAGAAATGTGGAAGTCGAGAAATTTGGGAATTAGAAAACTGTCAAATCAAAATGAAAGGCAGTAGGATAGGAATATATTTTTTCTACCCTTGTTTTTAACGAAAGAAAGCCTACGTTGCACCCGAGTGTACAATCTTGCTTGTGCGCCTAAGGTACTCTTTCCACGTGAATGTGCATCCTCTGTTTACGAAGGACACTTATCAAAAAATCGAAGGTGGGGTATCACAACGAAAGCCAAATACGATCTGAGCGGACAAAGAACGCTGGGCGAATGCGTATCTAATGGTGGGGGGTAGAAAGGAAGGGAAGAACGATGGAGGGGTTGGCAAACCTTTTTAAAGACGAAAAATTTCAAATTCAGAGGAGGAACTTATTGATAAAATTCTACGAAAATAAAAAGCGATGGAAGTGTCGAGGACAGCACACCGTCTGGATGGAATAAATACAGGGTCGAGCGAGCGAGAGAGACAGAGAGAGAGAGAGACAGCGCGCATCGAAATTTCGGAGGGAAAACTCCTACCTTTTACCGCGATAATCTGGGATTTTCAGAACGATGTCATAGCAGAGTAGGTTGGTTGCTCTAGGCGAAACCGACGGTCGGCGATGGCCGTGCAGCTCACCACTGAGAACACTGAGGTCGCTCCATGTCTCTCACTCGACCCAAGCCACGACCCCACCCATTACGGGCCTGCTAATATTCGTCGAGGCTGTGTATCAAACCATAAACCACTATGTACGTTCATATGATTTTATTTCGCCCGTAAACCACCACAGATATCCGCTGATATTTCGCGTAGCGATATCTGCGTCGCAAGATTATCAGCGTTCTTGTACACTGACGTCAAACGCTTTCACGAACTTCGTGTATCTCGCCGTAGGTTAATGGCGGCACCACTTGCTGGTCGCAATAGTCGCGTTATTCTCAAGTACGATTTTGTGGACAATTTCCTTTTTCTTTTATTCGGTATTGCTTATCGCTCAACGATAAGAGATAATTCACGGCTGGATTTCCACTGATGTTGCATCTAGGAGGAAATTTCTTGTTATCCTTCTTGGTGTTGCTCTTCCACCTTGGACGTAGCTGCTGCATCATCAGCGTATGCACATATACATTGTTCGACGAGTTTAAGAAAATTTCTGTAGAGGGAGAACGATAAGCACAGGGACGTATTTATTGTACGTCGTTATACGGTTCAAACTAGGGCTCTAACTCTCTATTTCGAATAATTAATTTGGTACTCATATTAATTTTCTTTTATTTTCCATTTTGATTTGAACTGATCATATGACTTCTAAATACTAATACGTTTATTTGAATAGGATTATCCTTTGTCAAGACTTTATGAATAAATCTGAAGGACAAGATTCGAATACCGAAGCTTTATTTGCACAAATTTGCCTTTTAATTTAGCGTAAATAATTAATTCTCTCTACATACATAAGTCTTCCTATAATAATAAAAAAATAATTCATATTCATTAAAATGCCTGTATAAAGCGGCCCTGGATAAGCAGTTTACGTTCCCCACCATATGCATCCATAAACTACTACTTCTCCTTTAGTTCCTGTATTATTTATGAGTTACTTCAGGTAAAATTTAAAAACTCCATCTCTTGTCCTAAATATACGGACCATTATCTCAAAATGATTTGAACTATAAAAAATATGTTTCCAAGTTTGTAAAGTAAAGCAATTTCAATCTCTCTGACAGCCATTATTTGTAGGTTATAAAGGAATTATACGCAAACACTACGCACTCGATATTTTTCAGAAATTCTTTTTAAATATTTCAAGATACATATACATGGATTTCTTATTCATCTTATGTAAAGATAATCTGATAAACAAGGAAGGAAACGGTAAAGGGTGTAAAACCATTTCTTAAATTCAGTTTCGTGTCACGAGATGTCGTACTTTACCATGTTTGACCAATCGCTGTGCCTACCTTCCGATCGTTATACACAATACCAGTTTATTTTATGATTTTATTACAAAATATACCAATTATATATACTAACGAGTTATAAAAAATGAAAATGCATTTATGATATAGGGAAAATTTCAAAATTTTATTTCTATGAATAATTTAAAGGAAAGGTAACGACGTTTACGAAAAACGCCGAAAACATCCGAAGAGAGAACGACGTGATTGGTTGATAGGGGTCACGTGAACTGGAACGCTTTTAAGTATTGGTCGAACATCTATGGTGGGGGGCGTTCATAATCCTTAAGATAGGCTCGCGTCTTCACAAAGGTAAGAGACAGTGTTGGGGAAGGAACGTGCTTACGCGCACATAGTTTATGAGTTCGATCGTAGTATCCGGTTTCAGTGAGTGTTGTGTGAGTTGGCGAAGCAGTAAAAAAAAGAGGTTAAAGTGAGAGGAAGAAGAGTCAGAAACTGACGGGCGCTGCTTGGGCGGATGATTATCAGTTTTTACAACAACGAATACATTCAACACAACGTTTACACAAGGTTGACCTCGTAAGAATTAAATTAATACATGTTATTAACACAAAATAATCTAAAAGTCGATTTTATGGCTTTTAACATGAATAAAATTTGTACTAATATAAAAGGTTAAGAATTACTTTTATCGAATGTAAACGAATAAAAAGGAAAAAGTAATTTTTAATGCAGTATGAAGTTTGTGATTTAATGTATACAAGCTCTTCTGTAAAAATGCAATGAAGTTTTCGGAAATGTTTGTATTCAATGATTTTTGTAACTGCGCAATAATCCCGTGATTCAGGGCAAATGGGAAGGGGGAACGCGGAGGAATAAACTTGGTGGGGTACCCCACAAATCTCTTACGAGTAAATCGCTACCTCGCCCCGATTGTTTTCAATTCTATTACACTTCTTAATCACGTTTTTTGTGAAGCGCATCATGTTCCATATCTGTTAGTTATCTTCGATAACACTTTCCTTTTCTTACCGAATACAATTTTTATATGCGTTCAAATTCTCTCACTTTTTTCAACGCAGCTGGAGGGGCACAAGATGGCCGACACGACTTGTTTGTTTTCGCTACTTCGCACGGAGTTCTCAGGAAATCATTATCGTTCGATAATGGAACTTATGTATTCATCTTTTTGCACTGTGTGTATTATAAATGTCCATACATTTTGGAAATCATCTAATTTTCGATATTTTTCAAGTTCTTTTAAAATTCCCCGATTTTTAAATTAAAAATTTTTAAATTTCGAAATTACAGACGTTGATACAAAAAAGATACACTCGGATTACCGCTTGATCTGGACCGAGTTTTTTTCGAATTTGCTCCAAATCTTGAGCATGCAATATATTGAAATATCTGAATATCCCTAATGGACGCGATTCCTTTCCATCATACCTGTCGATGTGTGTTATTTCGTAGACAACTGACGCAATTCGTCGACCTTGTGTAGTCAGGGTTTACAACTCCATTTTTTGGAGAAAGGCTTTTGAAAGTCCGTTACTTTCTAAGAAATCAATACCTTCCATATAATGATTAGGTACCGTAATTCACATGATTGTTGTACTAATTGTGTACTTTCCATTCCCACTGAATTGGTTCAGGCAAAACTGACCTACCTTTGTACATCATTAAATCGATCTTTAGATCAATATGGTGCAAAAATCGTATATTATTATTTGGTACTGTACACAATATTCTTGTGCCTTTAATTCTCATGCTTAATTATGTTTATTAAAAAGCATCAAGTCTATGCATGAGATTAAAGGAAACAATTCATTTTGCAGACGGGTTGGTTGACTTCGTGAGCGATAAAAAAGTCGAAAGTACGATAAACGAGCCATGACGAATTCGGTACCAAAATTGAACAACAAAGTTGAGCGGCATGGATCGCCGAACATCGGCCTTGAGCGGCATCATCACCGTTCCAGTGCAATCAAATCATCATCTACGTACTTCCACAATGGTGGAAGGTCTCATGGCAGAAACTCGACTGGTAGATTGAGCTGCAGCCCACATTTTTCGTCTAAGGGTTCAAGAAATTCGCCGTCGCGGTACGAGTATAGTCCGCGTGGCAGTCCAACAAATAGCTTCTACGCGGGTGCAAAGTTCTCTGAACCGCCGTCTCCTGCGAGCCTTCCCAAACCGCCCAGCCATTGGACTACGAGACTGATGAGCAGTTGTCAGCAATCTGACAGGAGTTGCGATATTTCAAATCATCTTAAGATAATACTAAACGTCCAAGCCTGATACCTAGAGACCAATGGACCGCTAAGAACGGTTACCAGCTTCTAAGAAAAGCGAAAGAGACACAGGTACGATATTATCGTCTCACCTCTTGGATTAAGGATGTATTTTTTTTCTCTTGTATGTGATGTGAAGCTGCTCGTTTAACAAACAGACAGACAAATGAACAAAAGAACAAAAGTGTTTACATGAGAAGAACTGCGCGATAATACAATCTATAAGAAAAGACGATAAGAGTAATACGCGAATAGGTAAACAGAAGGCACCAGCGCCTTTCAGTTTCTCATGGTACAGATACGCTGAGTGTGAACACCATGATTTGTTCTCTAAGCTATTATACAAAACATTAAGCGTGAAAAGACGCAGGTGCGTCTGCCCCGCAAAACCGTGATTCAAGTATATGATATAACTTCTAACAATTCTATTATGCGCCGTCTATGAAGATATAAGATGTATGTATTTTAGATTATTATTATATACGATTAACTTGCAGAGACGCATACACATACACATCTACTACACAACACTCTGTTGTATTATTTGTTTGACGAAATGGTACGAAGACATAGGCAAAGCTGCATTAGCTACTTTTAGAGACGATAACTTTTCCTTTTTTTTCTTTTTTTTTTCCATCTTAAGATCAAAATTGCTATAATTCAGCACCATAAATCATGACAGTGTCTTTTATTCTTTTCTGTTTTGTCCATAATTCTTTCCAAAATAATTACTAAAATCTATACACGTTTTGCTAACAGGATATGTATGTTGATTACTATTTTTCATCATTGAGAAATACTTTACAGTGTATAAGGGGTAAACTTTAAGCGCGTTGCATATATTCATCTGCTGCTCTTTAGCATAAACCAAGATATTGATTCAGTATGTCTATAATTGGTAATTGATTAATATTTCTTCCCCAATCTCTGTTAAGATTATCATATTCTTCTTAGAATTTATAATTTAAACGAGTCTTAAAAGGCATAATCAAATTATCCTTACAAGATCTTATATGAGAAAATTTTTGGTTTCTGTTTATCTTCCTCTTTTTATCGAAGGTATTCTTATTCATTTCACAGCTTTGCAACACTTTTGCAAAGCGATATATGTATAAGATACAAATGACGAATTTCCAGTGTGTATACAAATGGATTAATTTTTTGAAATTCGTACAATTTATTGAATGAATGTGATCTATTTGAGTGGATGTTGATGAACATGATTTGGTATGAATGTTGATGAATGATTCTTTGTGTTTCTTCTCTAAAACTCGTGATTAAGTAACAGTTGCGCTTAAATTAACAAAGTTTTATTAGATACTTCTGCCAATGAAAAATGTGGGATTCATTTTTATATTGTTTAAATGGTGTGATTAAGGAAAATCTTGTTTGTCACAAAATTTTCAGTACAGAATTCGACAATTTTTTTTTTTGTTTCATCTATAAATGCAATATACATATATTTCAACAAATTTTTTTTTCTTCCAATAGTATTGCATTACAAAATGATAGCAGTGGTTTTAATTTTTTTTTTCTTTCAATTTTTGTCTGTTCTTTCTTTCTGACCTGAAAAGCACAGATATATTTAAACATGTAGACTGACCAAATTTACTTGAGGTGGTGTTTTAACTAATAGGTTATTTTTCTTTTTATTCTAAAGAAGGCATCATTTTTTTAAATTACATTGGTTTTGTTCTTCCCTTAGTATACTATTTTTTTTCTTCGTTTTGTAAGTTAGTTGTAAGGTAAATTACAAAATAAGTTGGTGTATGTATATGCAGATCTCAATGAATGCATTCGTGCGTGCGTGTGTCTCGTGTGCGCGTGTCAGAGAGGATAGATAGCAAAATGTGCAATTTTGAACTTTCAATTACTTTCTCCATCGTGGTCCTGTATAACGAAATTTTCAATCGTATCTATAGCATTTGACAGCTGTGCATCATGTTTAAAATGGTTGACAAGAGTCCTGACGTAAAACCGAATGCTTCGATTCGTTTCGATCAACAACCGGTTCTCATCAATCTACCACCTCGGTTCGTTCTCTTTTTTCTGTCTAGTAAAACGTTGCCGCGCAACGGCTTTACTCACGATAAAGTAGAGCAGAAGTTTCGAGACAAAAACAGAAATAATCCGTCTCTGTTCCTCTCCCTTCAGTGATTCGACCATTTTTACGTTCGAAATTAGGAATGCTTCGAGAACGTTTCTCTTAAACTTGTACAAGGAAATGCTTTCTTTTCTAGCACACGTGAGGTAATCGATCCGTATGTTTGATAAAATTAATCAGTTTTTGCTCTCGACGGAAGAGGAAGCGTCTGAACTGTAAATGGGAAAATTATCTTCGAAAATTTAGATTCTCTCGTTACATTTGATCGACTATTTTTATCCATAGGTTATTGTTTTTCTTCTGAAAATCACTTTCACTTGGCATTTCTTTTTTGATTTGTGAACAATTTATTTTTCTTTGGTCGCTAGGAATTTTAGTATTTTATCTATTAGGAAGTGCGGATAGTCAGATTTGTTTGAGTGATAATTGGAAAAAGTTGGACAGTTATTCACGCTTCGTACGGCGCATGCGCGAACGAGTTCGAACGTCGGTTTGCTTTATCATCAAGCATCCAAAAAAAAAATTGCTGTCCAACTTTTTTTAATTCCGTAATCGGCCCGCTATTGTCCAGTGATTTTTTAAAGCTTTTCGAATCGGGTTAGTCTTTTTCTAATTCGGATTGAATCATGTAAATACGTGTCAGGGATCGAGTAAAATTTCTGGAAGTGGTGTTAGGAAATTTATTAAGGACGTGAGTTTGAATAAAAAAAATGAAACACTGCCGTCCTGTGGGAGATTGATCGAATATTAAATTTGAACGGTACAATGGAGATCGTCTCACGGACGCCGGATCTCGTTTTGCGAATTCTGTACATAATAGACACGGGGGAAATCGTGATTTCGAGCAACGTTTGTAAAAAAAAACTGAAAAAAGAAAAACGTAAAAACGAATGTTCATGTATAAAGATTTAGTGTACATACGAGGAAAACGGCAGGCGCGTATTATGTATATATACATCGTATACATATTGTAAGGGAAAAATAATGATCCTCGGTGTGGCAACGGCGTTTTGTTCCGTTCCGATCGAGAGCATCAAACTAGGATTTGGATCTTACAGCAATATTTCTGCTCGAGTCTCGTTGAGAATCGAAAAATAGTCAGTTTGTGTGTGCAAAGAAATCTTAAAAACAGAAAGGAAAGAAAGATTGCCCAGGATCTTCGAGGTCAGAAAAGGGAAGGGCGTTCTTGAACAAAAGAAAGATGGCGTCAAGAAATGGCGCACACGAAAGCGTGTACGAATTACAAAGTGAATAATCAACCAATCGATAATATTAATTTTAAAAATGATAAGAAATTAGCTGTGATGATGACCCTATAGGTACTACTAATTTTTAATTGGTAACTGATCAACATATATATATATATACAACATATATATATTATATATTATATGTATATGATTAAACGATAAGGTGGGGTATAATTTAAGAGGAAGTGCAAGAACGATGATCGTTCGCGATAGATAACGCGAGAGACAAAGAAAGATTAACACTAGTGTGTTATTAACGTTCCGTTAAGTCGGAAATAAAACATAACGGGGTATGTTTTTCTTTGTCCAACTCGGGGGTCTCTGTACCCGGCACTATCTTCAAGCGTTTACTATTAATTATCCTAAAATCTAGCAATTAATTTACGCGCGATTGTGGAACACAAACAGAATGCTCGATGATAGCGTTAACAGAAAAACTAAAAAAGAAGTGGGGGGTGCAATGTTTTCCGCGACAAGAACGAGAATGAAACAATATTGTTTAGGAACTCTATCGAGTACGTCCATCTTGTGTGTGTCGTAATCCACCTTCGTGACTTTAAGATGAGAATATAGTTAGTAGTTCTAATTATATATATGAGCCAACCAGAGAACTTGGGTCGTTTCGAAAAATCAGATCGAGGTCGTGTGGAATCTTATCTTTGAAACGTGCTTCCGGTCGCGCACATCTCTGACATACATACGCTTCTTTCCGTTTCCGGTTTACACGAATATTTTCCGTGAACCGAATCTAAAAGTGTAACACTGTAAACGAGGAGAAGTGATCCATTTTTCAAAAGGGTTGCGAAAATTAAAGGGATGAGAGACGATCCACACTCGGCTGGCAATTATTGTGATATTGTAACGTACAAAATCGTTCGTCGCGAGTTACACGAAAAATCGAGGAATAATCGATAAGACAAAATTAAGATTCTCGTGAAGGCTTCACGGATGTGTCATGGTTCTATTCGAACCAAGTGTCGAGTCTATGTCGGATTCACTTCGACTCTACAAACTTAGCTTTATATTTTCGAATCTCTGTGATCGGTTGTCTAGTTTAATTCTCTAAAATTATATTTTTATAGTATAATTTATTCTATTCAGAATTTACGAGTTTAACAGTTGGGGTACAATTTTTAATTTGCCATAAGTACCACTCTTACAGATGTCATAATTTGAAGACTTTCAAAAGTCCATTGTGTAATGCTACACATTAAATTTAAGTTTTCAAAGTATCTCGTAATATGTTATATTACAGAATCTTTCCTAACTAATATTACAGAGAGACAATCTCTGTAACCCTGTATCTAACGTGCTAACGCCCACAAAATACGCTTGCGTTGATGTGAACACGGCATTACGAATTATCGATTGCGGTTACTCGACACACACGTAGAAGAAATACCGTGATGCATCCGTCGACGAACATTGTGTGATGTACAAGAGCACATACGAACCAAACAGTATGTGCTGTTGTACGTCTAAACTTCATCCTACCACACGTATCTTCGTACCTTATTAACAATTTTCTTTTGCTGGTCTCTTTCGAAAGTTAATTGTAATATGCTTTAATCGAATGGTTCAGCTGTAAATGTACCGTTATCGAACGTTTCATGCTTTTTGGTTTTGTTGATTTGTTAGGGTTGTTCTTCTTTAACGCAGTCGAATTTTTTCGTTCATCAACATGCGTTTTTTCGATTTACGAATGTAAGCTTAAGGGTTTGGAGCTTCCATGAAAACAGACGGTAGCGTCTTCGATTCGCCTAAGGGAAAAAGGTATTCCTACGGATTCTTTCGATCGAAGCAAGGGGAGATTGTTACTTCGTTTCAAGGCGAATTGGAAGTTCTGTTGCGTTCGAGTATGTTCAATGTGCGTGATTATTTCTCTTAAGCAAATAATTTTGAATATCTTTTGGTTTCTTTTGCTTCTTTTTTTTTGTTTTAACTTTTTAATTAGATTTATCGAGGTGTGCTCTTTGTTTTTAAATCATTCGCGTATTACTGTAGTTTTAGGTTAATGACATTGGAAAAAAACAATTTCTCTTTTTTCCGATATTTACTTTGATAAGTATTTTGTAAGATCGGTCAAATTTGGTCAGGCGAAATTTCACGGTATATCTAAAACTTCGATTGAGTTTTTTATTGCGTTTCACTTTGTATATCTTTAAGGAAACTTCGTCTGTGCATGAAGAAAAACGCTAAAGAGCAGAGAACAGAAAATCCCCGTACGAATTTTGCATATCCTTACTGAAATTCTCGTTCAGGAAAGAATTTACCGGCACTCGTCGAACGTTCTTTAAACGAACGAACAAAAATGATACAAAGTTTAGCGGTCGATACAATGACGAAAGTACGCGGTACAAAATAGACGAGGGCCGCTTGAGAACAGAAAGAAAAAATGGAACCAACGTCTTCGAACGACAACGTCAAACAACAACAAAAAATCATCGCGTCGCGTCTCGAAGCGTTCCTCCTCAAAAGTATTTTTCACGAGGAGACCTCGGGACGCGATACGTGTCTCAATATAATATATATCGTGTTTTATTGATTTTTCATGCGATGCGAGCAAAGCAAATGAATGAAAATCAACAAGCTCATCGATTTCATACGGAGCGCACTGATCATTATACAGGGACACAAAACACAGCCACACGAAACACTATGTCGATTAATTAATTAAGCCTTAAATTTAGAATTAAGTTGAAAGGTCTGAGAGAAGCAGAGACAGGGAAAGGTTTAAAAAAAAAAAGAGGAAGGAAAGAGGGAAGAGCTCTGTCTTTTAAAAACGTGTCATGGTCTACGATATTCTTTTTATTAATCGAAGGGAGCTTGATTTTAGTCGATTGGTTCGTTCATTTTATTTCGTTCCGGTTGTGCCTCTCTTTTCATTCGATTTTCGATCGGTATTTTATCGTCGGATCTTTTCATTAATATCGCGTTTTTAATTTTCGATTTTTAACACGCTCGCTGTGGAATATTAGTCATAGTATTACTAACATTGGTGTAGGATATCAAGATTTTTAAATTGGATCAATCTTTCTCATAGATTTATACATTAGTAATATTAATATTTGCGATATCAGTGAATATTGATATTATCGCCAGTATTAATATTAATAATATCGGATTTTTCGAGATCCGCCATGTCCTCAGCGATCGTGTTAACCCGAGCTACGGTTCGGGTAGAATCGGCAAAATTCGGGGCACACGCTTTGATCTCAATCGTTGGCGCGAAAGAAATCTCTTTCTCTTTTTTTTTAAATTATACCATGGGTGAAATCGTGTTGTATTGTCATGCGATCACACAGCCGTTAATCAAATCCATCATAGTTCCAAATTCACGTCGCTTCGCGTTCGAATCGAATCGTACCTCGAATACGGAGCGACGCTTTTCGAATTTCTAAGAAGACGAAAAAGGTGCAAACTGGGTGGTCACATGACACGTATACATATCGATCGATGAAGAAAAGACATTTTCAAAGAGCTATAGACCATCGCGGTTGAATGAAATACGATTTTTACTTACGGTAGCAAGGAGAAGTCGCATCTCTGATGACGAGCCTGTCGATGACAATATTTTTTATCCTTCTTCGTGCTGCTGCTTCGTGAAAGTCCACCGGTCGTACGCCAGCGCGATACGCGATCAAATACATGTTTCATTTTCCTCAGTTTTTTATTCCGCGACTGATTCGAAAGCAGATATTCTTCTACGGAAGGAAAAAGAAAATTTCGTATCGTAGAACCGTATCCGTATCGTTCTGATGTGCGGCTAGAACTAAATTAAGTAGAGGAAACGGATCGGCCGTTATGGCGGCAAGAAAAACGCACTGACTATTTTAGCAAATCGAGATTCGACCATGTACCTTGATATATTACCTTGCGAATGTTTCCAGAAAGTATGTACGCGTCCGTGAATGAGCGAATGAACAAAATGAACGACGAAGTGTGACTCTGCGAATGTGCGCGTGCATGCGAGAGTGCCAAAGTGTGTCTGCGGTGATGCGTGAGCGAAAGATAAATATAAATATATATATTAAATATATTATATACGGAGGAAAAAGCCTCTGGGTCTCGAAGAAGAAAAGAAAAAAAACGAACGCGTTTTCTCCCATATACTCGATGCGGAAGGCTTGTCTTCTCGCAGTCTGAAAAATAAGAAATTATTCACGGATTTGTAGCAGAAGAACGCGTTCGTTTTGGGTTCTCGATTTCTCGCACGTGCAGTACGGTTCGCACCATCGCGATCAATACTGAAAAATAGATGTATAGTCAGTCACAGATGGGATGCCTGAGCGTGTGTGTAAGCGATTGTGCCGTCGTCCGCACGTGCGTGACAATAATTTTTTTTCCTATGTATGTGTGTAGCCGGTGTGCGATATAACTTTAATTTCGTTTTCCGTTCTGTTCTTCGTTTAATATCGAGACTCAATGCGGAGAGCAACGTTTGCGTGAGAAAATTCTGAGATTTCTTTTTTAACGTAGAAAGTATTATTCTGTATTGTTCGTCAATTACCAAATTACTCGCTGCCAGACGTGTCCGTTCCAACTATAATTGGCCAGTAAGGAAGCCATCTTGAATCCAGTCTCCTTTACGTGGAGCAGCCCTGCTTTTGTTTTTAGTTCACAGAAGCAGCCTAATGGTTTTCTCTGCTATTTAATAGTATTTGAGATCCAAAAACCTTGTGATTACTGCTTCTGTAACGATACGAAGTACCGAGATGCAGTGGCTGTAAAATTCATTTGCACAACAGTCTCTGTATCCTTCCTCTCCTTTTACTGAATTCCTCTTTTGCAAGTGAACCGAGAGGTTTGAAACTACGACGTTACTTGCATTCGAGGATTCGTGAAATGTCCTCTATAGAGGATTTGAGCTTCAGTTAGGAAGGAGGATAGATTGACTTCGGAGACTGGGTTCTTATGATGCGGGAGAAATCGATCAAAATGTCTGAAAACGCTTAGAAAGTACAAAATGGCCTCTATCGCGCGCAGATGTTCCTCCTCCGTACGAGTACGTCCTACAAATCGTGGCATTTCTTCTTCAAATGGTTTCTGTTTCTTTTTTGTAAGCTTATATTTTTACACCGAGCATCGCTGTACAGAGCATTGTTCTGCGAAACTCTGGTCTGCTTTAAACCGAAAGACGATAGGAGATAAAAAAAACAAAGCGAGGAAGACTCGTGTGCGGTGCACCGAAAGGCACTACTTAGAACGAAGCTTATACTTTGGAAGCGACAGGCCGCCATTTCCTTTTTCTTCGTTAGAATACCAGAGATTCTCTCACTCTCTACATACCACCGAATTAAGAACACCAAAAGCATTAAATCAAAGTAAAAAGAACACACACATAGTGTGGATCATGAGGTTTAAGTATTTTATTATCAACCCTGTTGCCTTCGCGAGGTATAGGCTTCACGAGTCCGTTCAAGACCAGTGATGGGCAACAGTGCCCGCCAGAGCAAACGGAGTGCAAAATAGTAAACTCTTGTTACATTACTACAGACGGGTCATATTTAGAAGTTTGCAGATTTGAACATTTCTATATTTCTAAGCTCTCAAATTTCAAAATATCAATTTTCCACGTTACAAAATTTCTGAATGTCTAAATTTGAAAATTTAATCTCTGTTACGATGACGATGGACAGTAAGATGGTGAGCTCTTTGGTGGGTATCTGCCCGTCACTGACACAAGGTTAAATAAAAAACAAAAAAAACAGATGAAGGTCAGAACTTTTGTTCTGTCGCGTTCCCAACGAAATGTAGAGAAGCGACGAGTTTATCGTAGACAGTAAATCGTTTAGATACAATTAAGGATACACCGAGTCGCGATCTCTGTGATGACGGCGATATAAACGCTGAAGAAGGTACGAGGGAAAAGAGTTTACGAAGATAAGACGAGACGAATGACCGTCTCGATAACCGTGATGAGAACCGAGGAACTATGATAATGATTTTTTTCCCCGTTCGTGTCAGTCTGATAACTCCGTCGCGGACACGATGCAATTTACTGTCAAGTTTTAGGGTACATAAGAATAGAGTTATTTAATGTATATCTATTATTGTACGTAAAGACACACACACTCACACACATACACACAGAAGTACGTTTAAGGTTCGACTCGAGCTCGCGCATAAGAAAATATAATGTATTATATATTGTACTAAAAAAGGGTGCCCGTTTCGCGTAGCAAAGATGGAGGAGGATCGATTGGCGATAAACGATCTAAAAAGAGTTAAAACAATTGTACATATGAAACGAAATTTCGGATCGTGCGAGACATGTAGGAAGCGGGCGACAGAGAATATTTTGTTATGTTGAAAAAGCGACGAAGAAGAAGCGGAAGAAGAGTTCATTTTTCGGATATATAAATATGGCTGCCGCTGCGTATATTTCAGCCGTACGTTTCGAGTTGACGTTTTTAAATATGGATCCACATCGAAGTGTGGGTCTTTTTGCGGCCTCAGGATTGTCGAGAGAACGAAAGAAGGGTGGCAAACAAAGAAGAGGAAGAAGTCGAAGGATACCGTCGGTTACGCGCAACAACGAGAGAGATTCCTTTATCATTCCGAAAGTTCGAGTAACTTGGTCACTTCCGTTACTTCTACACACGTATTATACCGAGGAAGCATCGATATAAATACATTCCGGTCATAAATCACGCATAATCATCATTTTTACTGAGGGTTGGAGAGAGAGAGAGAGGATCTCGACTGGACGCAACTCCTGTCAGATTTTTTTCCACGGAAAAAAGGAGGACCAATGAACGAGAGACAAGAGAATGACGGGAAGATTCAAAGATGGCGCGCGCGATCGACGGGGGAAACGAATCATCGATTGGGCCACCTTTCGACGCGCATCCCGTTGTTTTCTTGGCAAAACAATCGTCTCGTGTTTGCGTGTCCCGACGTGAAAGGAATAAAACGAGAACCAAGGAAAGATAAAAGGAAACGGAAGGAAAGACTCAAAATTTGTCGATAATACGTGTACGCACGTGTGATCGTTCGCTAGGAGAGGCTTGATAGAGAGGAACAATTATTTTTTGCCGTTTTTTTCTCTTATCTCGAAGAGGAAACGTCGAAGTTTCCATTACGAGGGCAACGGCTATACAGCGCAGCGATTTTAACGAGCGAACGACGATGATTCGAATGATCGTGATCCTCCGGAGAAGCGAGGGAACGTGAAAGAGAGCCAGTAAATAAAACAATATATAAAGAAAGAGAGATATGCAAGTCGTACCTAAAGCGTAATCGTTTATATCGTAATTTTGGTACTGTTATTCTAGTATGCGCACGCGTTTTCAAACGAGTGGACGCGTGTTTGTATTAGCAGAAGAAGAAGAGGAGGTTAGAAAGTGCGAAGAAGATGGATACAGAGGTAAACGAAAGGGAATGAAAAAAATAGGGCACCGAGAGAAAGAATTTATTACGAGAACAAGAAGGAGAATATGTCTTTCAAGGTCGTCGTTGATGGAAAACGCAAGAATAAAATGGAATCTAAGAGAGTTCGGAACGAATGCGAGCGGATTTCTAAAAAACCAGCAGAAAAAAATGTCTTTTTGAGATCAAAAAGCGCCAAAAAAATCAGTGTATAAAAATCAGCCGAGAATGTATGTGTACGAACGAGAGAAAGAGAGCATGATTGAAGACTGAAGAAAAGCTCCGCGAGGGAAGAGTGATAAATAGCGACGACAATGGTGTATCGAGAGAAGTGGAAAGGAGACGTGGTAAGAAGAGAGTTAGGTGTGCAATAAATTGCCAAGAAAGCTGAGAGATGAGTCGAAGGAATAATTTCTTGGTTCCTCTTCCGTCTGTAGATAAGGATTTGGTGCGAGGATGATTTTTAGAAAGTTAAAAAGAGGAGAAATCGTTGAGACACGTCACGATTTACCAATGAGAAGAGTATTTTCGGTACGGCGCAATTACAAGCGCACATGCGCATCACGCTACACGATATTCGCGCGTGCGTACGCGAAAAGCAGCAGAAGGAGCGCAGAGAGAGAGAGAGGGGTTTCATTTGAACTCGTTTAACGTTAAAAGCAAATAAATAACGCGTTTATGTGAGTCACGTGTGCGAAATTCAACCGAACGAACACTGGACGCGCATATTCTCTACTCAGAGCATTAGTACTGACACGTAGACGTACGAGAACCTTCGAGAGAGATCGTGGAGAAAGATACAGCACGAAACGAAGTGAAAGCTGCGGGGTGACGACTGAAAATTTTCAACAGAGTCACCGTGTGTCACATTCGAAAGAAAAACATATATTCGCATACATACATGCACACCGCATACAACGCATTGAAGTTTCTTTGATGTTTATCCAAAAAAAATGAGTGGAGCCGTTTTTCGACTAAAATACGGACGAGAACACGTAGCAACGAGGAAAAAATTTCTAACCTTACCTACTATGATACATCCTTCTGTTTTTTCCATCCACCTTTTTCATAATTTCTCTCTGTTCCTTGACACCAATTAGAAGAAACTAGCTACATTTATTCTCCACATGATCTTTAGTCCCGTTCCGGCCTTATGAAACGTCTAAACACACCACGCATATCCCGTCCACACATTTTTCTCTTTACTATCACTTTTATTTCTTTAGGGCCCTTCCCAGGGCCCGCAAATGCTTCATCTATGGAGTAACAATTTCTCGGAAGGTCAACTACAAAATCTGTCCTTTTCAGGACAAACGATCTCAGACTGTCTTTTTCAAGACAAGAATTCGAAACCGTCCTTTTCAGGACGAACAGCTGGCTCTGGCCGTTCTAGGCCGGATGTCGAGGATACTTCAAAGGATGAAGATGCTTGAAGAGTTCGTCTTTCATAAGGACAAAGTCAACGCCAGAGGAACATTTCCTGGAAGAATTTTCAAATAAAGCTTTAATATTGTACCTGAACCTTGAAATATCCTTCCTAATATTTTATTGTGATATTTTAATGTTTGGTCTTGACAAGTAGATACTTTAAAAGAGACCATTTTTTATTTCTTTATCCTTATTTATTTATGTCAATATATTTTTGGAATATTATTGCCTTGCTAGACCTACAAGTATTAAGTAAAAGTAGCTTTGTAAATTTCTTAGACTGAAGATATTAAGTTAGGACCAATTTTTTAACTAGTATGATAGCTTCAAAGTAACTTTTGTTTCTGTTAGTTTTTTCTTTCTCTAATATTATAGATGCACAATATACGTCATTCAGGATTTATAGTGTAGAGGAACTGTAAATTACGTATGTAAATAACGCAAATTAATCCGTACGTGTTGTTCATCGTGATTTCAGCATATTTGTGAGGGAAATCCACTGCAGAATATTCAGGAAGCATGTGTCACGTTTCACTAGAAAAGTGAGTTCTACAATTCCAAGTTATGTACATTATTTCTTTCAGCTTCTATGAATTTTTCTAGTTTCAATCCACTTATCTGTTATTAAAGTTCCGCTGTACATGTTATCTTGGATGATATGAAGTAAGGAAATGATACGGCACGAATTGCGTAGACGAGAATTATCAATTGAAAGTTTCCACATGATTCATTAAAAATCAATTTCGTAGAATGGCTTACGTGGATCACTACTAAAAGTAGAGAAAGTAATTAATGAGAATTCATTTGGTTTCAGGTCGTAGTGGCGATAGATTTGGCCCTAATATCATTGTACATACCATTTGAAGGTCACTGTTATTTCAGCATGAAAATAAAGTGGGACACTATGTATACGAAAAGTTTAGTCAAGTCATTGCTTTTGAGCAAGGTTTCATCACGAATTGGTGGGGATGTAATGGAGGACAGTTGACTTCGTATACGGTGAAATAAAATACGCCTACTCCAGATGCAGTGGAAGGGAGTACTCATTTGTATTCAACCAACTGAGCGGAAATATCTTTTCTTGTCTGGTTTGTTCTTGCTTGAACGCTGCTGGGTTTTCTGTCGTTGATTTACTGTGTAAAATAAATGACCTACCCGAATCCAGATACTGAAACAGCAATTGCAATGCATTGAATTTTTTATTATTTCTTGCGCCGTCAAAAGAAGAGTACTGATAACTTTTACCTTGTACATATAAGCCTTGATCATGTTTTTATGTTTCATATTAACGCGTAAATTGTGACGTTGAAGAAAAATATGAGTAAGGTAACATGAATGTGCCTGAAAACTAGGAAGAAATGTATTTGTACCTTCTAGGAAGGAGCATAATTGTTAATTGTTTATTACATTGAAAATCAATATTTTTGTATGTGATATTATTAATAAATACATATTTAGTAATACAGCACAAGTTTCAACGTTCCTTTTTAGTAAGCACATACTTGCTTGGCTCAATCCCATGACGTGGGCAAAAGAATTTGTATTTTATTGTTCAATTCACTTTCATTTTCTATTATTGGTGATTCTAAGTATAGACCTCTTGGCCGTACGCCGATTTGTAAGAAAATTACAAATACTGCTTGTGTCGTGTCTTTACCTAATAACATGTTACGCTATTTTTAACAGCGAAAGCGTCTACTTTGTATATATAGACATTTAAATCACCCGTGAGAAATGTTTGATGTGATATAAACATTATGCTCTAAATTTAACTTTTAAAGCTATATTTAAAGTAAGTAGAATGTTACGCATTAAAAATAGACACACTTGTTATACAAAAATTCATATATTTTATATCAAGTGCAATAAAAAAGGAATATTTTTACAATAGAGATTCAACTTACGAAAAAGAAAGCTATTTCAATGCAGGTAATAAATATATAAATATTTTTAAAGTAACTGACGTGGGATCTTCCAGATTTCTATGTTGCCATGAGTGTCACCGATGGCTGCCATGTCCCTATAAAAAATAAATATTAATATATTATAACTAATTCCAGGAAGGGAATTCCTTACTTACTTTTTACAATTTACACGCAAACAGCTAACATTCTCCCTGTCAGTTGGTTCGAATTTCACATTTGTTACAGGCTTCCCATTTGTAATGTTGTACAAACTAACGTTCGAACTGGCCCCATAGGCCGCCAATACATCACTATTTCCCATTAACCAAGTTAATCCAACGATTGTATTCTCGCAAGAAATCGATCGTAGACATGCGTGCTGAATACAACAAAATTTCACTCACTAATTGATTTAAGATAAATAAATGAAATGTACATAAAAAAATTACCTCATCGAAATCATATATACGCATTTCTTTGTCGGTGGCAGCGGTGACAAACAGATTACGAACTGGGGAACATTTGATACATGTGACACTGCCTTCGTGCTTGTCGTACTTGTCTATAACAGGATCCATAAGAGTATGATCTCCTGCAATTAGCAATGAAAAATAAATTGTAATAATTATATGGTAGCGGACACAGTCTAACTTCGAAACAGGGACCGCACCTTCGATAGGAACAGTACGATCCAAACTACACTTATATATTCCACCACACAAAGTTCCCACAACAAAGAATATAGGATCTCTGGATGAAAAATCGAAGGTGGTGATACATAATCCAGATTCCAAAGCACGTTCGCGTATTCCACCTGCGCTACGCGGTCTTGAGTTCTCCACTGGATTATGTTCTTTAGCTATTTTTAATCTGAGAAAAGAGGAATTACAACAATACAGCAATTTCACTCACAAATCAATGGTTTAAAATAAAAATAATTACCGTCTGTACATAGTGTTAGTTGACATTTTATGAATAAAGATGTATCCATCTTTGCTTGAACTTACTAAAAATGCCACATCATTTATAGCTCTTGTTTTCCAATATATCTGTGACACAGGATCACCATGTGTACATAATGTTAATGGGGTTGATGATACTCTTAGGTTCCAAACAAGAACATCACCTTTGTATAAATAATTCTTTGAGAATTAGTTTCAAATGACAATGTATATATATTTAATTAGAGTTCATCAGTTACCATTAAACAATCCAGCTGCTATGATAGATGGTTCTGTTGGATGATACACTAATGTTGTGACACATGCATTTGTCTCTAATGTTTTGTTTAGATTGTTTGTGAAACCATCTTCCTTAGATTGATCATACAGCTGTATTTTAGATAAATGGTCACACCATGTTTCATGATAAGGTACCCCATATGATACAGCTAATGTTCCTCCTCCAATACTCCAACTCATGTCACTTACTTTCATCTGAAGATACACTTCATTAATATAATGCCTTAAAGATCCTAATAATTGTGGAATACAATAAATACCTCAGAATCCACATCATTTGCATTGCTAATTTTTTGCACAAGCTGTGTGGTTGTAAGGACATCTTCATCTGTATTTGGATCATAATCTTCAAATGCAGTGGTCCCATAGGATTCATCTAAAGCCTCTAATATGCTTGGTGTGACTTTATTCAAAAACTGAGCCAATCTTTCATAATTCACTTCTGGCTTTTTCTTCTCTTCAATAATAGTTTGAGTCTAAAAAAAGAATGAATCATTTTCAATAAATATTATGTTTTTGGCCCTGCCTCTTGATGCTTGAAATTTAGTATGTTATATATATTTCTGAAAATACCTCAACGCTTTTTGTTTCAACTGTTTGCATAGAATTTTCCTCATAACAAATTTCTGTTGTCTGAACATTGGATGATTGTTGTGATCTAAAAATAATGAAAGTGAAAAATAAAACTTATTTAAAGCAAAGAGGTATTAATTGTAACACATACTTTGTGGTTGACAATTGTGAATTGAAACTCACAGCCTCGAGCGAGCGATTAGTAAACATTTTTAAATTAAAAACAGATTGATACTACAACGTTAATAACTAACATGTAAATTCGTTTTTGAATTGTACACAGAGGAATAAAAATCAGTTGAAACTTATGATAGGTCTGCTACTTGTATCACGATATATAGCTTTACAAAATAGCTGTCAGATGTGCAGCTCCATCTAAATGCATGGACAAGTATTAGAAGCCACAGTCGATAAAAGATATTAGTACTTTTATTGGCTTTCATGACTTGTTAATACTTTCAAATGACTTTAAAGATAATTAGTATTGCATTTCGAAGCAATTTGGGGTGCATAATTATTAATTAAGGCTAAAAAATCAATATTAATTAAGGCCGGTCAAAAAATGGTACTAGTGGCGCCATCTCTTCAACAAACGGGGTGAACTACAAGCGTTTGAGACACCACTTTCATTAGTTCCCGTCTTTCACCGCTAGATGGCAGGTCGATTTTTGCTCCATAAAATGCAATATTCTTCATTTTCCTTTCTAACGCTTTCAGTACATTCTAATGACATTCTTTCAACTATATCAAGGCCAGAGAACATTCTACTCGGTCCAAAAATACATAAAAATCGTTAATTTTCAAGAAAATCGCAATTTTCTATTCCGATCTTTCCGCCGCTCGCCGTTAGATGGCGCCAGTAGCAATGTTCTTCATAATTGCGCGCGCGTATAGTGGTGGACATTTGCACTAATAGATATAAATTTTTTTACTTGAATTTTCACGCAATAATAGAACGATAGTGCAATAAAAACGTATACTTTTTTCTTCGGAACATAGTTCTATCTAATATTTTTCACGAGATCATATAATAATAACACAATATTTAATTTAAAAGAAGTTTTAGCCATCGTCTAATTATACAATTTCGAAAGTTATAAAATGGACACCTGTTGGCATATTCGGACTAATGAATTGAAGGTAATCGAAGATGGTTCTGTAAAGAATCTTTTTTTTTTTAAAAATGTTATATAATATTGTTTCTTATTTATGGATAACAATGATAATCACATTGTGGATTGTTATTACTGTCCAATAAAATGAAATATTTTTTGAAAAGGAGAGAGCTCTATCTAGAGCTTTCGTTACAATCTAATATGACGGATTATAATTTCGTCGAATTTTATAAGTATACATTGGTGAGCATGGTAGGCTTCCCTAATGAAAATGGCGAAGTGAGGGGAACCGGCCTCATTATTTCTTAATTTTTGAGTGGTAAATATCGAAATTTATGAATTTAGATATTCGGGAATTTTCAAATTTGAGCTTTGGAAATTTAGAAACTTAGAAATGTTCAAGTTTACAAATTAGATCAGCCAATATTGAAAGCAAGTGGTGGGAGGCTCTTCCCCTTATACTTATCCTTATCCATTGGAAGCCTACGTTATACACGGCTATACATGAATCGTGTATTTCAATTACGGTGAATTGCGCGCGCACATTTCATGGCGACGCTGTCGTGCCGTAGTCCGTCAGTCAGACCACTGTCCTCTTTGATTTTCTAAGGAAAATTCGTCTTTTGTTAATCAATCCTATTCTGCTGACTTATTCCGTGTTCGACTAACAAGTCGAGATTATTTTCAACGAATCTGTTCTATCAAATCGTCAAGACGAAGCTCAAAATGCCACTGGTAAGTTCGTCTACCTTTCGTTCCTCTCTTTCTCCCCTACTTTCGTCGTCAGTCCTTCGGGGAAACTTTTGATTTTTCGTTGTTTCGATCGTTCTTATTTCAAATTCAAATTGGACAATTTCAAAATTTATCGATATTCGACTTATCGATCAATTTTCGATTTTCTTGAGCGATTTTAGATGGAATGATTTGGGTGCGGTTTTATGGTTAGACATCCTAAATATGTTCGACGTTAAATAAAATTGTAATTGGCGCGTAAAAATAGTGCATGAAAGAGATGTTTTAAATTAAGCAGCAGATCTTAAATGGAATTTCTAATGAATTTTTTTTAGGGCAATCACGCTGTCCTTACACCCCTGGAGGACATGTCAGCTGGTCGAGGGCAAGCAGGTGGGGGGCCTCCCCCTAATTGTCAGAAAGTTTTCATACAACGTGACTACAGTGAAGGGACTATGGTTAAATTTCAAACACAGTTCCCTATAGAATTAGAAACCAGAGTATGTAATTAAAATGTTCATTAATTTTAATTATTTATAACATTTAGATCAATGTTTATATTTTTGTATACAGTGGGATATCTTACAATGTACAAGCACCATAACTAATAATGTTCTAAAACAAATTAGTTTGTTACAGGATATCCTACTGTATGTTTCTGACACGTATCAGTTAAAAAGATGCATAGCATTATTCTTTATTTATCTAACTTATAGCTAATGAACTAGTAATTCTTTCACATGCATTTTATTTATAGGTAATTTTCTCTTATCTCATTTTCCAATTTAGCTAGATAGACAGACGTTTGAGTATACGATCAATCAATTGAACAACTACTTCGCGGAAGCTGAGAGAGCCACTTGTTCGACGTACTGCGAAGGTTGCTTGGCCTGTCTCACTGGTTACCTAATATATATATGTACAGAGACTCATTACGAAAAGTGTCTACGTAAAGTGGCAAAGTTTGTTAGTGAACAAAACGACAGAGTCTATAAACCACGCGGGCTATTGTTAACAGACCCAACAATGCGAGGTCTTAGGCTAATAGAAATTTCAGTACTGGACAGACCCGCGTCGTGACTGCACATTAGCCGATCCAGAGAGTTCTTTATGTGATCCATGCACTCCTACCATTTTGACAGGATTGCAAACCCTACATGAGCCGATGCGTGTCTCTGGACCTAATTATGTTCAGTACCGACGATTTTGATTTAGTTTGTCTGATATGAACTGTACAGAGAGATGCAGAGGTATCGGAAGGATTTACAGATTGTTTTGTGAACATACATGCGACGCTGTTGTAAATACTTTGAAGGAAAGTTGACTTGTTCCATATTGTCAGTGTATAGAAATCAATTCTCTCGTTAGGAGAAGACTTCGTATTCTGCTGATGTGGATTCATTAGTGGGGTGTAAAGTTTTACGACACTTTGTAAGACTTACCATTTTGAAATCACAAGTTCAAACGCATTCACACAGGGTTTATCTCTAAACAAGGATACGCTTACTGTTCATTTTGCATGTATGTTTTGATCAATTGGAATTATATCCTGTGTCTACATCCCAAGGCCATGGCGTTATATAAGTTGAATTTTATATGCATACAATAACATACCAGTGTAAAACGACAGGATTATGCAAAGAAACGAGGCGTGTACGTATGTATATGTGCTGGCGGAGAGCTTGCACGTTTTCCTCGTTAAACGAGTGAGATGCGACAATTCACGTAACTCGTACACATCGTTTCTTGTCATATCGGACGAGGTTTAAACAGTGCTTTTTTAACTGTACATTCAAAGACTTTATGGACATCTGCATTTAACAGACGACGCGAGAAACAAATATACGCACCACTCTGTTCTTAAGGGTGAACAGGCTTGGTCGTAAATTTGATTCGCTATCTCCGTCAAGTACTGAAAAACGATTTTATTTTGGTGTTAACAAGTTTTATGCTTCGTATATACGTATACACATCTATTATTAAGTGATCCTTAATTATCTTCCGTGATGTATCTTCCATGATGCTTATGTTCATGATCTCACTGCGTGAGAGATGATTTTCCTCTTTTTTTCTTGAACAACACGTACGAGCCAGGGATTCACTTGCCGTGGATGACACGCCTCATCGAGAACAAAAAAGAAAGAATTGGATCGAAATTGTTGGCACAATGCATTTGCGCTAAGAAGTCTGCTGGATTGGCTAAGAGAAATTGTACAAAAAAAACACCCGACAGAGGTGAATTATTAGCGAATTATATTCTATACGAGAAAAATCGGATAAATATATCACGTGTGTGTGCATTGTGATCAAGGATAATGAACTACGATCGTGTGTCTTGCGGTGCCGCGTGTACATGTATATACATATATATATTGATACAGTTGTATGCATGATCTTTTTATTTTATATTTTTGTACAACATATTGTCGAGACTATGCGAGCGATTCGTTTGGAATCTCTATGCATACTCCGTTTCTCGTGATACGGTCTATTTTTCAATCTTTTTCGATTTCATTCGTTCGAAGGAACATTGATCTCAAGCGAAACGCTACGGGACGCTTATTGCCGATCATTTCATTCATCCTGTTAATGTACTAATCTGTAATGATGCTTTTCTTCAACACACGTATTGTCAATATGTCAAAGTTCTCTGAAGTGACGAGAATTTTGAAATATTAAAGTCTATAAATATTAGGTTACATTGATAGTATATTAGCGCTAGTATTGGAATGCTTATAGAAGGCTAGTGGTAGAGTTACTCTACCACGGTGCTATAGCCTAGTATACGTAAGTAGATTAACCGATGCCGTATGTATACTAGCGTTAATACGAGGTGATGACAGAAGGTTAGTGGTAGAGTCACTCCCACTAGTGCTTTAGACTAGAGTTAGTAATTTGGAAATTTGGAAATCTAGAAATTTAGAAATTAAAACGATGGGAGAAGGCTAGTGGTAGAATTACCACGGTGCTATCCTCCGATTAGCTTTAGTGCTTTATCAATCACCTACTCAACTATTCGAACACGGTAAATATTTTTTCTACTAGCGCTATAATCCATCAATGTAACCTAGATAATGTTATTCCTACGGAATAGGAACGAGGAAGAGTATCATTCCAATCTGTACAACGACAATGAAACGTTTCGTAAAACGGATCCGTGGCCATTACATACCTGCTACACGGTGTCCAGGTATATATACTTACCTTATCGCGTGCTATCTCACGGAGAGAGCAAGATTCATTTTTTTCTACTGCGTCAGGAAGTATTGGGTCTCGTCCTTGGTCACAATGAGCGCGGAGCCTGTTCCGACGTAATTATGCGACAAGGTGAAAGAATCTTACCAAACAGCCGCGCCACTGCCTCGACATTTTACTTCTCCTATGTATCCAAGAGAGTGTGTGTGTGAGAGAGACAAAGAAAATCTTGTAAATTAGTTCAGGGAAATTAGGATCCGCGGAGTAATTTTCAGCGAGCTGTATTTTTGTATGAATTCCGTTGTTTTTCGATGACAAAACTTTAGCTTGCTAGAAATTATTTCGTAGATTGGTTTTATCTAATTACTGGAACTAAGTGGAGACGAATCTCTCGTGTAAGGATACTGTAAAATAAAAATATCATTAGGAACGTGTTCGCCTCGAATCATTTGTCGAACAGTGTTCGCAGTGTTACGAGTTACAGGCTCCGTTCATATGCAACCGGTATGTTGCATAATGTGTAAATAGAAATGAATCGTCGACACATGGAATACCGGGAAAGAGGAAGAAAAAATATGCCGTTTGTTATACTTAATTTAATCGTAGGACCAAAACGTTTGATGATTCGTTACTGTGTAAAGGACACCATCGTTCGAGTGTAATTTCTAAATGTTTTTAATAATAAAAGCAGTGTGAAACCTATCGGAGCGAGGTGGAGATGAAAAAAATGGCTTTGTTTGAATTTTATTTCGAACTAGCTCATTCCACAGGATGCTGCGACAGGGGAAGAAGTCAAGGTAGAGGGAACCTTTGAGCACATTCAGATTTTATTTAGTCGTGTGCGATAGTCTCTGACAGCCATTGTGTACAGCTATATCAAAAGACTAGAAACCAGTCTCATTTGCTGAGTTTAGTTTTAATCCCTCCGATTCGATTTTAAGTTCAACTATTTTGTGTAATTTTACTCTTTAGTTAAGAATTAGAGAAGCTTTTACTAATAATTGGCGTGAATACTGTAGACTAATATTGTCACTTTAATAGTCTGAATTTAATACATGAAAATTAATTATTAAGAACTTAGGAGAAATATCGACTCGGAGGGGTTAAAAAAAAATACACATTGTAAAGACGTTAATATCCGTAGGATATTGATCTTTGATCTTTACCCTTTCCCAAAATACCTGTTCTACAAATTGTTGTACCAGACAAATTTTCAAGCGACTCTATCAGCACTTCGTTAACTTTTCAATTAAAAACTTATCCGAGGTTCCTACATCTTTCCCAAGTTTCTTCTTCTTCAAGGTATCTGAAGCAGAAGGAAACCGAAGGATCAATAAAGGAATATAGAACGCAAGAAAAAGGAACATGAGTCACATCCTTGAGTTCCACTCGAACTTCGATCCGTACAAAAGCAGACCGACAGATATATCACGTTTTTGCTTCCTGCGTCAGAAACACGATTTTGGAGTGGCCCCGTGACGCAACGAATCATTAATTCAATCGGAGGCATCGCCTTGGATCCACATTTGTTAGTGTCCGTTTCGCGTGCACCAATACAAACGCGTCAAACTGGTTTCAACTCTGTAAAATATTAGATCAAGCACGAAACTTGACAAACACTTCTGTCAAGTTTTGTACCCAACGTCCTTTCCTCCCGTTTCTATATCTTTATCATTTTGTTTTAGGTGGTATATAAAAATGCCCATCGCTCGGTTACATCTTATAAATCGAGACACACATCCACAAACACATCCCTTTCACTCATCACTCTTCATCCTGCGAATTATCCTAAGGTATCGGAGATATAATACAAAAAGATTGTCAAAATTCAATTCACATCCTCGCCACCGGTCCTCTAACATATTCTTGTTTCTAGGTTATGAGCATTGTCGGTGAAGGTTGCCCATCTAACCAGTCACCCTTCTAACTACCTAGCCATCGACTACCTGAATAACTTCCTACGTTCCTGCCTATACAACACAGTCCTGCAGTGATTTCTCAAGCTTTTGTATTTTGATTCCTTTCGGGTTCTCGAGGTAGGTGGAGACATTCGGAGTCTACCAGCTTAGACCCTGATTTCAGGAAATCAAGCCTTTCCAAAGTCTCCTTGATCTCGTTTACGAAAGATCCTTTATTTTAGAACATTTCAAAGGTCTTCCTTGACCATCATTCTGGGATGCTTTCGAGGGTGGTCGATGTAAGCCGTCAAATGAGTAAGCAGAGCTTGTTGCGACTCTTCCTGTCCGGAATGAGAGCCTTGGACTTAGCTGCGTCTTCAGGGGTGCTCTTACTGTATAAAGATCTACTGATGCGGTGTCTGACTCCTTTGCTCAACGTGCGATTTCCTTTCCTTAGCGAAGCAAATCTTCCCAGCATAGATTTTTCAGGAGCGTCCTTTTTGTCCGCGTGAGCGCAGTTCAGGGTTGTGACAGTGAACTCGATGTCCTTGGGTTCGTACGAGACAAATTCCTCGACCGGTTCGTCGATGGTGTCGCGGTCGATCCAGGTCAGACCCATTTCCACCTTCTCGGCTAGGTCCTGCCAGTGTTTCCGGTTGTCCATGGTGCCTTCGTACAGAGGCATGATCCACGGGAAGGTGTCGGATAGAACCTTGTAGAGAGGCAGACAGATCACGTCGATGAAGCCGACTTGCATTTGCGGTAGCTCGTCCTTTCTCTCACGGTCCATCATGGCTACCGGTTGCTGGTTCAACTGCAGTCGTTCCAGATCGCCCTGGTCGAAGAACTCGTCGGCTACCAGTTTCGCCACGCGATGCTGCACCTCCCACGGCTTTGCTATCGCGCTCACGTCACAGGCTGTCATCATCATTCCGCAGAGCACTGAAAGATTGACCATTACTCAATCAAATCATACGCGAATCAATTACGCTGTAAATTACTCTAGCTTACGTTCTTTCTTCTCTTCGCTCTGCCAGTCGAACTCGCCCTCGTCTATCAGCTCCATGAAACGATTTTTCTTCTTGAAATACACCGCCAGATCGGTGGAGAGGATGGCGCTCTCAACCACTTTCATTACCCTCCTGTAGTCCTCCATAGACAAGCTTTGGAAGATGTTGTTGCTGTCTGAATTCAGGATCATGACGCACTGATCGAAGTGGTGATGCTCCATGGTGCTGGTCGAGTAGAGAATAGCTAGCGGGGACTCTGTCTTCATTTGGAAGGCGTTGTTCGTGCCGCGGTGGTCTAGGTCGTGACAGAGGCAGGCGACGAGCAGACCTAAGATCTCCAGGTCGGTCATGAATTGCTCCATTTTGCCTGTCTTTAGCATCGCGAACATCGTTTGGGCGACGTTTAACGCGTGTCTCCAATTGTGGTACTTAACTGGTCTGTATTATTCATAACAAAGTTCAAAATAATCAAAGTTAGTAGAATAGAACTGGTCACAAATGTTCTGCATTCACAAAATAACTTTATGTCTAACCTGTAATTTTTCTTCACGCTCAGAATCCATCTGCACAGCACCTCATAAGGTATATGAAACTTCTGTATCAGGTTGCACTGCTTGAACATGCTGATAGTGGCTCTGCAGGTGTCTTCATCGGTCAGATCAAAGTCAATGAAGGTAAAACTGTACAAGTTGAAGGAGTCCGCCGAAGGTATCGGTTCAGAGGTCAATTTTAACGTGTCATCGTTGCTAGCTGTCGCGTGGTAGCTCAGACACTCCAGAGCGACTTTCTGCTTGGCCATTAGCTTGCAAGCCGACTCGTACATCTGAGTGTTGTGAATCCCGAGTCCGCAGAAAATGGCGAATGCTTCGAAGATCGATACGTCGGAGTCGGTGAAGGATGTTCCATTATCCTACACGTTAAAATTACTGTCAGTATCTATCTTGTATCTATGAGCGTTATACAGAAATAGAATAGTGACCTTGTTGATCAACTGAGCAACACCGATCACGGTCCTCTGACCGTTCACTATGGGCATACAGAGGATGCTCTTGATCGATTCGTTTCCGGATTGAACGTCCTTCTTCAGCCACGTGGCCACATCCCCGATGTTGAGGATCTGTCCAGTAGCGGCGACGTACCTCGCTATTTGACCCAGCGGTTTCGAGAAGTCGGATCCGCTGGGTCTGTACACTTTGGCCTCTTGAGTCTCGTTATCCATCTCGAAGATCGTGGTGAACTTGTTGCCGTCGTTCGTTGCCTGAGGAAGGGACAAAAGGTTTGAAGCAACAGATGAAGTCTTTTGTATCTCGAGTGTATCGACACCTTGTTGGCAGACTAATAGACTTTTGTATCGTAACCCTTTTTTACTGTCATTCAACTATCATTCATTTGATCTAAATTACATAATAATTTATCTTTTGTTAATAGTTGCTTACGTGCTGTTGGAAAATGTCCTCCATCTCGATATTGTTGCTCTGAGCCGCCAGGAAAGAGAAAAAGATGATCAGACTTTACGAACTCGAGTAACACGTGCCGGTGTCACTCACCTCTCGCCTGGACAGTGGTTTCCTGCTCTCTTGTGTGGACTTGCCAGGTCGTTCGACGATCTTCTCCAGGTGTCCCTGAAACGAAACTTAGAATCTCTTATTATGTTCTTCTGTGATCTTATTGCAAAGCTCGGTCCTCGTAACTCACGTTACTTACTACAATAATATTAAATTATATTAATTGGTTCGAATGAACTTACTGCTTCACCGCAGTCCAGGTCCAGAAGATACACCGCGCATCTCTCGCACTTCAGCAGCTCCTTAGCCTCCGTCATGATCTTCGTGACGAGACACTCGAGATTGTTCTGCTCCTCGAATATGTTCCTCGCTAGGTTCAGGAGTATCTGATTCCTGCGGTACTCCTGCACCGATAGCTCGAACAGCTGAGCGTTTTGTATGCCGATCCCGCAAAACGTTAGGTACCTGTAAATTTCTTTGTATAAATACAGTATAACGATACAAATGAACTAAATTCGTTTAGTTAGAAGTGTAATTGTATGACCTCTGAAAGACCTCGACGTCCTTGTCGGTGAACTCGTTGCTTCCGTTGGTCTTGTTTATGATCTGAGCAACTCCAATAACGTCGCCCTCATAGTTGCAAATGGGCATCGACAGGATCAAAGTGGTCTTGTAACCGGTTCTCATGTCGATGGAGCTGTTGAATCTCGGGTCCTGAAATGGTCATTGAAGGTCTACCTCGGAATCACCCACATGTACATGTTTACAGTCTACCCTAAAGATTAGCCTCGTGGCATCGAGGAGGGAAACGGTAACACGAGTAGAGCAAATCGCCGTACCACTCTTATTATCTTCCTTCTTTCTCTCTCACATTATCTACTTAATAGATTGCTTTTTGTTTGAAGTAGCGACGATATCGATTCGTCCATTAACCGCTGCCACGTGGGCAAGTCCTCGAACAGACTTGGTCTAACGTATCAGATATACTTCTAATCGTTTGAACCTTATAGGCGTCCTTGATGTTGATGATCTCTTTGGTTTGGGCCACGTAGCCAGCGATTCCGACACCGAAAGGGATTTTGATCTCTTCGTTCTTCGCCCGTTGAATGGCTTCCTCGAGTTCGGTGTCTTGCGTCACGTCGAACAACTTGGCGACCAGGTATCTGTCCTCCAGAGGTCCTTTGGCCAGGAATAGACTCCCACGATCTGCGTGCGTGAGCAGACCGACGTTCACCAGAATTTTGTGACAGAGAACGTTGATGTCCAGCTCGTTCGCCACGTCTCGGATCAACTCCATGAACAGATCGCTTTCGTCTAGCCTATTGAGCTCTTCTCTTCGTCCCACTAGCGACGTGTAGGTCCTGTCGATAGAAATGTTATAAACAAGATCAAGAGAAAGAACGGAGTGTTTAGACATCACACCTGCTGGGACTTCTGCTGCGCTTTGCTGGAGAACTAGAAGCCAGCCAGTTTTGGAACAAGTCAGAGGTGACGCTGTTTCGCTTGCTCCGACTTAGGAGGTTCTCTTCCTGATGTACGTTCTTCGAGGGTGACTTGGGTTGAGGGAAAGTCACACCTTGCAGTCGCTGACGAAGCTCCAGGCTGGCGTTCTCGCTCAGCCAGGCTTCGGCTTCCTCGGGATGCGCTTCGAGGTACCTTTGTATGGTAGATATTACACTGAATAGTTTGATTTAATTTGGGAGTTTGATAAGATTTATATCAAAGCGAGAGATTATTTGATTCCTTTTGTATCTAGATATCTGGACAATAGTATTGTCATTACTGACATTCTTGGAGTAGCGTGTGTTTGGAATTTGGTATTGGTTTAATCAGGATCAAAGGACTCATGGATGCAATCATCCCGGCGCTGTTCATAGGAAGGGTCTCCTTGGTCTTTGCTACTCTCGCTTTGATCTCGCTAACATGGACACGCCTGCATTTGTAGAATACGCATAGATTGAATCTAGCTGCACGAGTATATATCTGGCTTCTCTAAGAGCCTTACTAGATTTTGGGGTAGGTTTTCCCATGAACAGCATCCGTATAACTTACATCCTATGATGCGTGATACTCGGTTGAGAATACTTGGCAAACTATCATCAACGTTTATTGTTTCAGGTTCAACAGGAAACCAAATCTAATACCATCAAATAATACAAGAATAAACAGCATTAGTGATTTACTTACCTTCCAACCTTGTCCATGGTAAGACCATCATCTTCATCGTATTCGTGTATGGTATCCTGACAGGTGATCCTCTTACTTCTGCATAGTCTAGCAATGTCACTCTCTTTTATTTCAGTCTTAGTCATACTTAAAGATAATTTTGATTCTTCTGCCTTCATCTTGTCAGGATCCTTGCACGGGACGTCGGGTTCTTCGGGATTTGGCGAGCACACCAGCTGGCACTCGCTTCGCTCTGGCGTCTTTGAAGACATTGGTTTCGTCGAGATTTTCATCGTTTTGAATTTTGCTAAGTTATCATTGCGATTCACCTGTGTAGTCAGTATTTCGCTTTTTAGTTATTGGATCAGTGGTGTATTTGTAATGGGAGAATTAATATCTAATGTTTAGCGCGTTAATATTTAATGCGGTGGGAGCTCAATGTGTTAGGAACTTGACTTGTTAAGAATTCAACGCTTTGGGAACTCAACGCATCGAGAACTCAACGCTTTGGGAATTCGATACGATGAGAACTCAACGCTTTGGGAATTCGATACGCTGAGAACTCAACGCATTGGGAATTCGATGCGCTGAGAACTCAACGCGTTGGAAATTCGATACGTTGAGAACTCAACGCGTTGGAATTCGATACCCTGAGAACTCAACGCGTTGAAAACTTGATACGCTGAGAACTCAACGCGTTGGAATTCGATACCCTGAGAACTCAACGCGTGGAAAACTTGATACGTTGAGAACTCAACGCGTTGGAAATTTGATACGCTGGAACTCAACGCGTTGAAAACTTGATACGCTGAGAACTCAACGCGTTGGAAATTCGATACGTTGAGAACTCAACGCGTTGGAAATTCAATACGCTAAGAACTCAACGCGTTAGAAATTCGATACGCTGAGAATTCAACGCGTTGGAAATTCAATACGTTGAGAACTCAACGCGTTGGAAATTCGATACGCCGAGAACTCAACGCGTTGGGAATTCGATACGCCGAGAACTCAACGCGTTGAAAACTTGATACGGTAGAGTCTCAATGTGTTAAGAATTAAACGCATTAGGAACTCGACGCGTTGGGAACTCAACACATTAAGAATTCAACGCGCTGAAAACTTGACGCGTCAGGAATCCGACGCGTCGAGTGCTCAACGCGTTGGGAATTCGACGAACACGTTGTGAATCCAATAATCCGAACTCAGCGCCCTCGACGAAACTGTAATTCAAATTTTATTTTCCAAATTGATCTAATTTAGAGAATTTTAGTACTCTGAACTGTCGGCGATAAATTAAACCGAGTTAAATAAGCGTGTCAGCGAATATTTTAGCGTTGAAAGGGTTGGAATTTACACGCAACGAAGAACGCGCTTATCGCGTGTTTGTTTCCCGACTTTCCACCCTTTTCTCATTGTACCTCTGTATCTTTCGCCTCCGGCAACTCTTCGTCCACTTCGTCTTCAGACTCCATATCATCTTAGGTCTGAATTAATTACCATTGAGCGCGATGGGGTAGGGAAGTTCTCGTCTCGCCTTTAAGTCGGCAACGGCTCGAGGGAACGAGGCGAGAGGATACTTGGCATTGTAACCCCTTCACTTTGTTAAAGTTTACGGACTTTCTGGGCTGTTGTACGAGCACCCGAGACACGGGCCTGAAACAAGTATTCGAGCGTGTTACGGTGGACTCGTTCCACTTTAATAACAGAATTTGTACCGGTGCTTTCTATCGACTTTCCTACTTGAACAAAAAAGGAAAGATGAAAAGAGCCGACGGGAATTCGCGGAGTATTTTTAAACGTACTTCTCTCTTGCCTTTTCTTTTGTAAATAATTAAGGTCACATTAATTATGAGGTTACTAATGGCTGAAAGTGCTTCAACAAGTTGACTGTTATAGTTCTTCGTTAAAAAAATATTAACACGTACGCGGAGTACCTTTTTAATTAGTAAAACTGATTTTAAACTGTGCATGTCTTTTTTGTATCACGCTAATTCTTTTATGTTTCATTTTTATTTATGTTTTCCTTTGTTTACAGATTGTATATAAAATGGAATATCGTTCGATTTCCATCCGTCCTACTTTATGAATATCTAGGATCTTGTGCGAAACATCGACGGTATTAATAAACTTAGGGTACCTGACCCACCCCACAAAGATTCCAGATACGAATGGTCCAATGTATAAACTGTAAACCCTCGCACCGTCTCGCGAGATCGAGGGGAGCAAGTCACACGGGAAATCTGTGTCTAATAACTGAATTATAAAATGGCTGAATTTGATATTCCCCGCCGAAAATAACTGCAACGTGAAACGGTCCGACCATCCGTTAAATCCACGTCTACTTTTGTCCACGAGCTTAGCCACCCTTCTTCATTAATCCTCGATGAAGCGTAAAAACGTTGCAGTGTGAACTAATTTTCTCGTGGAAAATTTAGGAACCATTCAAAGGGAATATTCTACGTATACTCGCAGTGTCAAGTTCCATAAAAAGAAAACATACCCGAAACTCAATAATCTTCCGGGTAGAAGTTCGCATCGTTCGAGGTGAGTTTCGTTTTATAAATCGCACTAACGTTTTGTGGAAATTAAACGACCGATAATTTTTCCAGGTCGACGAGACGAGGTGACACGCGATTTAATTATCATCGATCTTTCCCGCGTCAAGCCCTACAGTCGATATTTTAAACTTCGCAAGATGCAGCTCTCTTCTTTGACACTTTCTGCGTCCCTCCTTTTCCCTTCGAGCGTGCACCGCCGCTTTTACTGCATCCCTGGATCAGCAATCGAGCGAGAGTTAATCGTTTGTGCGCCGCCACCGTCACCACACACAGGCGTCCCTAGCGATCCTTATAATAAACTTATCACCGACTTGCAAACAGTCGTGGTCTATCTTTCAAACATCTCGATAGTCATTGATCTCAAGATAAATCAAAATACAGCTTCGTGTCATCGTTCAGAAGTCAGATTCAAGACCTCACTGAGTCTATCCACATCTCATTATAGTAATCTAGACTGTACATTCTAAATGATGTAGAAGCATGTTTTGATACAGCTATGCTCCCGCTATTCATCTCGCCTCTTAGATCCTTACGCCAACCGTTTATGCGTTGATGCATAGACACTATCACAGCTAAGTCCTTTCGAACGTATCGATTAAAGTCGATCTTCGGGCAATTAATCACTGTCCGCTCACCGACAAATATTTGGGAATCGGTACTGGAGTTGGTAAGCAGTTAGCTTTCATCAAGCTTTTAAAATGAGTGGAAAAACTTGCTGCGCTTTGCATCAGGGACCTAAGCGAGACTTAAGCAGTAAACATTGTGGTTTCAGTGATCCAAGAAGGGGACTTAAGGTGGATCTAGACGAGATGGGGACTTAAGGGAAGAGGATTTGCACCGCGTATATTACGAGTCTGAACCGGTGACTTAGGGTATATTACCAGCGTCCCAAATGGCGAGGATATGACAGTGCTAACGTTCAAAATGGGGACTTAGGGTATATTTCAGTCATTAAGCTGACAAGATTGGAATTATAACGTTATGTTACATTTTAACTGTCCACCGGAGAAAATGAGAACTATATTACCATTCCAGCGGTCAAGCCGAGGGAACCTAGGCCATGTGTTCCACAATTCCAGCATCCAAATCGTGAACTCAGTATATTACAATTCCATTGTCCAAACTAATGAGATGAGCATCGTTCCAGGAACTTAGTACACGCAATTCCAGAGTCCGGAAGGAAAATTAGGGTAGACTTAGCGTATGTCACAATTCCATTGTTCAAAACTATCGAATGTTACACCGTATATGTTACAATTCTAGCCGGAGATAGGAACTTATCACGTAATCGAAACCGACAAGATGGAGCACATACGAAATCAACGAAATTATTGTTTAAACGCCTCATCCACTGTCTATACCTGGTGGCATCCTTCCAGGACATCTACTGATCAGTCCTAGTCTACAATCCATATCTCCGGGCAAGTATCCCATTCATCCTTTCTCTATTGTCCTACACAAAACTGATTCACTGTGTCACTCCAGCAAGCTTTCTTCGATTCCACTCGTCGAATCTTCCGTACACGAATTAGACTTCTGTTCTAGTCACGCACATGTCTTCGATTTTAGCTCTGTGCCGCGGCGGGGGAAATGTCTGACGGAGTCTCGGATAGAATTGGACCGGTCGAAAGCTCGGAGCTTACTGAAGCCAGGCCAACCGACGGGTGTTCGCGAAAGCTTGGCCGGATACGCGCAAGCTTTCCTCGTCTTCGTCGGCGTCGAGTCTTGTGCATGTAGGCGTCTATCACCCTCTCTGTGTCCGTGCATGCTTCACTCGCCCTGGTAGAGCTTGCGCGCTCGCGAGCGGAACGCGGAAACTGCTGCGCGTTTCGACTTTCCCCGGAGTACGCTCTCTGTGCGAGTGGAACACACATAAACGAGGGGTTGGTGTTTGGTGGGGTCGATGTTGTGTGCGCGGGGTCCATCCGTGACCGTTTCGCTGCCGGAGGATGACACTGTGTGTACATCATGTACCCACGCACACCTTGTTCCGTTTGTGTCTTCGACTCGAATCTACAGGGTGCGTCAGCAAGGATGGTACATCTCAGAGATAATTCTCTGTACACACTGGGGTTGGGTTTTATTTCAAACGAGATAACAGATAATCGCTTTACTTAAAGAATTATTTTAAACGCTTATCTCCCTCGCTAAGCTCAGCGCCTCATTTCCATGATGTTCAAATATTTTGCCAAGGTCCTTTTGAATAATTTTTCTTGACACGCTTTCGTCTCATTAAATCAAAGATAATAACAAAAATGTTCTATTAAATCTATGTTTAAAAAGTCAATGATTTTATGAAACTCAAACAGCAAATTCTTTGTTAAAGTATTAAATCAGTTTCCAAATTATTTGGCAAACGATATACGAAATGTTAATTTATTTTTGTATATGTAAGGTTTAGTTGTGCGGCTAGCTTAATCCACCCTGTAGATCGTTGAATAAAGCTGTAGTGTTTGTGTGTGTGTACAGATGAAATAAAAACACTGGGTGTGATTGATGGTACACGCGATGCCTTTCGGTTTCGTGTAAATAGAGAGTATATATACGTGTTTTTACGGGGGGAAAACGGCGTGGGAGTATCTCGGGTACATTCAGGTAGAATGTCTATGGTTGAGAAGAGAAAAATTGTTTGTTTGCACATGAGTAAATGAGAGTCTCTGTAGGGTTACAGCGTTTAAGTAGAATGAGTAAGTGTTAGCTCAGACACCTGCCTCTTAATCGCTGTAACTCAATTTTAGTCTCATAATCTTATCAATTTACACTTCAACATAGATGTCCATATCGAATGTATCAACACATCGATTCAAAGTTAAATTTTATTGATTCAGTAATACATAACAGAAGTAAATACTATTTATTCTAGACTATCCGACATCAGATACATTTTGAAACATTGTATATCTCCGCATCTTATAACTGAACACCAACAACACGGTGAGTCACCCCCTCATACCCAATCTTCGATATTTTCAAATATATCACAGTCTCCAGCGACATATTTCAAATTCAAGTTTACAAGAAGAAATACCCAGCTTCGTTTCCAAGTTCCAGCCACCAGAAGGCAACCGTACGGTCTCCCACCGCCAAAAGTGTCCTCATATATCTCTAACGGAAGTAGATCACTGCCGTCCTGTACCCAAGGTTCCCACGCCGAACCCTCCTCCATGATTTCTTCGTTTTCGACTTCCTACGACATCGTGCTTCTCGTGCTATACTAACGCCGTGTCAAACTTTTCCACATGAACCCGTACACGTTTAAGGGGTTACGTCACTTGGAGGGCTTCGGCTGGCTAAATTTACTAGCTCATTTTTACAAAAATATAAAAGACGTGAAAGACCTATTAAATGAACGCGAAATGGCGGTGCAACTTTGGTAGGACTTTGATGCAATTTTTTATTTTTGGCAAAAGTTGCGAAAATTGCAGTCATCATCTGAAGTAGGAAAGTCTGAAATATTGATATCAAATTAGTCTAACTCAAGTTTCTGTATATTTTGCACAATCTAAGTTACACATATTTACACATAAAGAATATGTATAATAAAAGTATCTAATATATTTTTATATCTTTTCAGAAAACGTTACCTAAGGGTGTAAGTGACGTAACCTTAAGCGCCGACCCTATAGAAGAGGTTTCCACGTGGTATCTCCATCGTATGCGTGGTACATCCAGACACTAACGAGTCCGGTGCCGACTCGCGCGAGTTAGAGCGGTTAGGCGCGAATTTTCCACGGGTCGTGCGTGCGCTCGTGGCTGAAGCTACACGGACGTCGCGACGCGTCTGTGTGCCGCGTCGGGCTAGCTGGAAGATCGATAGCAGAGTACGGGTCCCGGACGCAGCATCCCTCGTGTCTGCTCGCGCGATTTTCCACCGAAAATTTCGCAGAGCACCGCCGATAGCCGATAGCGGGATAGCGCTGCATCGATTCGACCCGCTGTTATGTCTCTCGACTCCTTCGCTGGGTTTATGTCTCGCGGTTGTTCATCTTTTGTAACGATGTTGCGCATTGTATCGCCAAATATTTACTCGTATGTTCACGCGTTACCATGCGTTGTAAGCCACGTGCTACTCGCTGCCACGTTATAGATTTTCCATGCATTGTCAAGCTTCAGATTTTCTATTGTATGTTTACGTTAGGTTTGAGTTTCTATTCCTCGCGTGCTTACCACGCACGATACCCACGCGTGACACGCGCCGAGTGCCTACGCGCTAATATATTTTCATATTACTATAACAAAAATATCTAAGAGGAACAGCTATACCACTTACAGGGTTTCTTACTTAACGTAAATTTCCAATAGAAGATAAAACCACTGAAGAAAATCTTGACGAATCCTAGCTAAATGATATCCATAATGTATCCCGATTTTATCTCCGTTCCGAAAGTTGAACAGAACATTCTGTGGCGTTTCGATAAGACACGTACAACCGTTGAAACGATTTCTAAGAACGAGGGAGGAAAACCCCTTTTTGGCATTGACAAGTTTTCACCCCCGTATGTTAGGGCCACGATAGCGGGGTAAGCTGAGAAAATCCGATAGGGTAATTTCTACGAGTTTCTATTCCATCAGAGCCATACGATGCACGACGTTATTGCTACGGTTTCAGCTGGCACCGTCAAGATTTACGAGCTGCAAAGGAACCCTGGCTAATGGCGGTATCGATTTTTAATTCACGCGTCTCGTACGCTAAGGATGGCCAGGTTTCTCAGGTGAAACCTGGGAGATAAACGAGCGTTGGACGGCGGAGAATGATTGCGAGACGAATCGATGAAGTGTATCGATCTGTGTTCTGATGGTTACTGTAAGCTAGATAAGTTAGAAGCTTAAATTAATTCTTAAATTGAGTGATAGTATAAGGAGTAATATAATGTATAATTATACATAGATCGATCGATTGATTGATTTTATGTGGGCCTCGACTGCTATGATCATTGGCCCTACATAGTAGCGTAACACGTAGCAATACAGTGGCGATACAATATGCGATAAAGTGGCCTAACGTAGAAATTTAGTAATCTAATGCATAGAAATTTTATACATAACATTGTGAAAATACAACACGTGGCGATATAACGCAATATCGCTTAGAATGATTTTTCATCCAAGTCTCAAGAGAATTCTAACCGGAGAAAAAATCTTTTCAGCCACGCAAGAGGAAGAGAAATCAGGAGCAGCGCGGTGAGGTGGCTCGTTAGCGTTCGAGAAAAGGGAAAAACCGAGTTAGAGAAGAAAGGAAGAGGAAGAAGATAAGTGGGCGGTCCCTCCTTAAATTCTAATCGAAATCCTGAATGCCGGCTGATTTTATCCGCCGTCTCTTGGCATCGTTCCCGTTCGAAACCCCTCACGTACAACCAGAGAAATGAATAAATCCTGCGTCGTTATGATTTGAAAGAGTCCACCAACAACTTTTGGTGAATTTCCTTTCCTCGGCTTTTATATTTACGTCGATACTGTCCAGTATCAATGTTTCAACTGTTCTTATTTATTCGTTACCGAATAACAAAATTCCCGAATTACCAAGTCAAATGTTTATCTTATCAAGTATTTTATGATACGGCGAGACGAAGTTATTATAAGACTGTTTTATTTCTGGAAGGATTAGACCGATGTAAACATCGATTTTCTATTTATGGCATATAATTTAAGCGGCGTTATCGTTGGATTACGGCGACGTTAAAGTCATCCCACTCGGTGGGGATTTAATATTCTTATGGTTCTCGCAACGATCCAACTTCGCGGCGTTTAATTGCCAGGATTAAGTTTGCATGCAATTCCTTCACTAATTTACGTTCTTTTAATCTCGTCTATACACTCCGTAATGTACTAAGCAACTCGAAATTTCGTTAAACACAATTTTATTTTTATCCGACAGAACAGTTGATGCAGAATTTGCTGGAACTTTTTGCGTTTGTTCGGGGGGGAACAAAAATAACGTTGCAATTTTGTTGTGATCAGGGGGCAATTAGTGTAATGTTCCTTGTTCCAGGAAAACACTCTGGGAACGGGAGATCAGCGTGGGACGCCGTCCTTTGTTCACTTACGCGCGCATTTTGTTTCTCTGCGTGGTTCCGGAAATCACTGGGGTTGATACGAGGGTGAAAACGTGACGTTACAGAAAGAAACAGCAGTAAAGTAATTAAAAGGGAATCGCTGACGTTTCCGATGAAATCATTTCCTGCTACTTTTACTTGTAACAAGAACTTTCTTATTAGTTCTTCAAGGCTGTCGTAATTGAACATCCGAGCAGGTGTCATGTAACATTATTTCAAGAATCCTGAAGTACAACTGTACTTCTCTTGTATAACAAACTTGATATAAAACTGCAGACTCGTATCTCTCTTATTGTTTAAATTGCGATAATAATTGTTAATAACGATAACCGTATCTCGTAATTAGATTTCACGCTATTATCTCTGTTTTTTAATCGAGTTTATCATTTTAAGATAATCCCATTTATCCTCCACAAAGGATATTGCATTCAACCTACACGTTTCTTTTTATTTGCAAATCAGTTTTTTCCATTTTAATTCAAATACTGATCACACATTTTTCGTATTTAAATTATGGATCTTAAATTGTCCTCTGACATTTTACTGCCCCCGGCGAATTAAATTGCCTAAAATATCCTTGACGTCAATGATGTATATCGAATTTTATTCGTAAATAAGCCACGTTTGCCTTACTCCTGTCGGTTTATCAAGCACCGTAAAGCATTTCAGCTTAACGCCTCTCGTCCATCTCACGCGAGTGGATCATTATTAAATATCAACGCTTCCACGTTAACTGCCACGCTCGCGTAAATGCGCCGCTAATTTACTTGTGAGTAATTTAAGGGATAATTAGCCGTTCGACTGCGAGACCGAGCATCAAGCACACTTTACCTCGTGTGAAATTCGCGTCGAGTGCTACACGCGAGTTTTTCTTCACTACGGGCAAATAAAACTTGACAAAACGCAGATTTACGGATTTTTAATTCAGGAATGTTCGGAAGAACTATAGGAAGCCTGCTGCGTTGTGACGTCGAAAGGATTGAAGAAATAATTCAAGGAATTTAGGTATCCTAAAGTTTTATTTCTAAAGTACAGCTGTCTAATAACAAACACTAAGAATTGATTTTGCAAACAGATCGCTGAGTTTCTTCAATTTCGAAATTAGCTGGATCCCTTCCGGAAGTTGGACGTAGCTGGTGAAATAGCCTGAGGACGTTACTTAGCAATTCGGGGGATGGTAATTTACTTCGTTATAACTTACGACGCTGTGTTACCGTCCATGGTACAGTTAAGTGGAAGTACAATGATGTCGGTAATGTTGTTTCTGAACGTTCCTCGGGTATTAGTTCGAGAAGGCTATCCACGAAAATTGATTGCGCAACGGTAATTCCTCAATTATTGCGCGGTAACTCGAATTCTTAACTCGTACTTAAGACTTCGAACGTTTAAATACACGTGGCTGAATATTTACATCTTCAAAGATATTTTCAAAAGTTTCATAATTCGAGAATCGTTGAATATTTAAATATATCTTGAATAATTTTATACGGATTATTTCTATATTCCTTACACAGTTAATTGTACTCTTGATCCGCTCCTTGATCAGGATTAAAAGAGGAATTATTTGTTGCAGGGAAAATTGAAAGGATCAAAGATCATCGTCTGACTCCTGAAACCGTTCGTACTTAGCCACGGATTTCTGAAAGGTTTCGTAATCCTTCTTTTCATCGTCTTGGGTCAATGATTTTCTCCTCTCCAGGGTGAGATAGATCAGCAGGGGACAGTAGGCAACGTTCATTAAGCCGACGATTCTCATGACCCATTGGAATCCAATCGATTTTACCATCTCACCGCCAAGGATAGGTCCTTAAACAAATGCTTGTCTTAAACAGGATCTTCAATATAAATTCATGCATTTGGGTTATTCAAGAATGATGCATGCAAAATTCCAAGATACTGCTTCTACACTTCTTTAGTTTTCTAAGCTTCTTTATGAGAGGAGCCATGTCAACTGTTCTTTAAAAAAGAGACAGTATTTACCAAGAGAATAGGCTAAGCTAATATTGCAGATTGTTTAGCTTCTTTATAAGAAGAGTCATATCAAGAGTTCTTTAAAAAAAGAAGCAGTATGTACCAGGAGGGTAGACTAAACTAACATTATAGATTGTTTAGCTTTTTTATAAGCAAAGTCATGTTAACAGTTCTTTAAAAAAGAAACAAAATTTATCAAGAGAGTAGACTAAACTAACATTAAAGATTGTTTAGCTTCTTTATAACAAAAGTCATATCAACAGTTCTTTAAAAAAGAAACAGTATCTACCAAGAGAGTAGGCTAAACTAACATTATAGATTATTTAGCTTCTTCATAAGAAAAGTCATGTAACAGTTAGTTAAACAAAGACAGTTTAACAGTTAGTTTAAAAAAGAAACAGTATCTACCAAGACAGTAGACTAAACTAACATTATAGATTATTTAGCTTCTTCATAAGAAAAGTCATGTAACAGTTAGTTAAACAAAGACAGTTTAACAGTTAGTTTAAAAAAGAAACAGTATCTACCAAGACAGTAGACTAAACTAACATTATAGATTATTTAGCTTCTTTATAACAAAAGTCATATCAACAGTTCTTTCAAAAAGAAACAGTATCTACCAAGAGAGTAGGCTAAACTAACATTATAGATTATTTAGCTTCTTCATAAGAAAAGTCATGTAACAGTTAGTTAAACAAAGACAGTTTAACAGTTAGTTTAAAAAAGAAACAGTATTTACCAAGAGAGTAGGCTAAACTAACAGCCACTTGTTGAATAGAATAAACGGGTCCGTAGTCGCCATTTTGGTCCACCAAGCTAGCCAACAGTGGCACAAGAGCTGCGTCCGCTACACCGATACCCAATCCCATCCCCAGATGAGGAACAATCAGCTGAGACATTGTGACAGCGGACGGTATCAGTATAGCACTTATACCAACGACGAACATGGCCAGAACAGCGACTTTACTGCGGCCGTAACGATAAGCTATCACGCCAAAAAAGTTCGTTCCAACCAGGTATCCGACGCTGTCCGGAATGAACACTGTTCCTAGCTGCCACTTCTGTAACAAACATTCTTTCAGAAATTAACTCAGAGTTTATTGCTATGAATACTAACCTTGGGTTTTACGTGCATTCGCAGCCATATTGGTAAACAGGGTTCCAAAATTGCCATGGGAGAGGTTGAACACCATATAGCTCCAAAAATGATGAGTATGTGTGGGTCAGATAGCAGATGTGTCCACGATGTTTTCTGCTCGCTAGAAGACTGAAATTCTTCATTATTTTTATTGAAGATAATGAGTAGGTGAAATTGGATTTGTTTAAATTAAATAGAATTTTTATCTACTAGAATTTGTATATACTCATATACGTATTTTTGTTAACAGATGAAATTTACCTTGGTGTTAGTCTGAACGTCCAAAGTCAAAATTTGCAGACCTAAGGAAGATTCACTTTAATAATAAATTTTTGGACAGTTAAAAGAATTACGTACATATGGCAACAACGATGAAACAGGAGACTAGTAAAAACGGTGCCATTTTTCCCTCGAGATCGTAAAGCACCGATCCAATGGGGTATCCCACGAGGACACCGAGTGCGATGCTCCCTAAAACGAAACCCATGATCTTGGACCTCTTGTCCTCTTCAGTATATTGAGAGGCGACCAACGACATCCCGGAAACTCCGATGCACGCGGAGGAAATGCCCTGGATACTTCGAGCAAGAAACAGGACCTCGTAAGTTTGCCCGAACGCGAACACTGCAAAAGTTGTCGTGTTCGAAGCAATTTCTTCGTTCATTTCTCTCTTCGTAGTTGAATCCTTCGTACCTTTAACTTATATTATATAAAGTATGCTCGATTCTACAAAAGATTTCGTTTATTATATGAATGCAAACTTTGACCGATAATTTATAAATCAGAGAAAAAATAATTATGACAAGGAGTTTAATAATTAAGTTTGACTAAGTGAAATTTTACAGTTGATGGTACTGTAAAGGATGAGAATAAAAAGCAACGATTTCTCACGCATTGCCGCCAACAGAAGACTCAAGTTTCCGAGGAACAACGGTTTCGAATACCCCAGGGTACCGGTAAGAGTACCCACAGCAGGATTTAGTATTAATTGTACGAGAGCCTTCGAGCTCAGCAATAATCCAACTCGGCCGTTTTCATCGTTTTCGTTGCTCGTCGAGTTTCCCTCGAGAGTGCAAAGGTAATCGGGAATAATCGGCACTAAAAATGTTCATAGATAAAAACGGTGATCGATACTACTTTCAGCGAGTCCATTTACCAACAACCGTGAGCAACACGTTGTCCAAGAAGAGGCTCAGGTAAACCACCGTGACGATTATGACCCGCGAGTTCTTCTCTAATTCTAACATCGTCATCCTGGTGAACGGCCACGCGAATTCTCGAGGAAGTGGAGCCAACTACCACACGATTACGTGCACTCGAATCTTCCAGGGACATGCTTTCCCCATATCGATGAATCCTTCGATCGAGATGTTCGAACCCGAAGAGAAAACCTTTTTCGATAGCTGAAACAGGGTTGTATACGTGACTGGAAAGCGAACCAGCCACCATCGTGCTTTTATACAGGCAGAAAGCTTCGTCCTTGCGCAGAAGCTTTTTCACGAAATGCGAATTGTACGGCTGGTGTGCCGGGCCCCGTTCACGAGCCGGTGCACTTTTCGATTTATCGCCATTATGGCACTGCTTATCGAACACCGCCAGCCATCGTCGTTTCGCTATTTTTCACGCCGGCCACATGGGGCGGAAGTAAAACGCCACTGCGACGCTTACATCCTTCGCAGGATCTCACCCTTGGGACAACCTTGAACATTGGTCTTCCTCCTTTTTCCCTTTTCTTAATTTTCTCAGATGAACTTTAGCCGCGGATGAGTAGACTCTGAGATGTGGAATTTCTTTCTTAAGAAGTTATTAATAATTATTCTGTACAATATTTTATATTTTGATACATGAATTATATAAAATTTGTGAGGTGGATCGTCAGTGAAACTATTGGTACAATTGTTTAAATAATTTTATAAGACAGTTCGTTTGATTTTAGTGCTTAATATTTCGGCATTGTGGATTACCGCCATCAGCCACCCTAGTTTCCGGTTACGGCACTGTCATCGATATTCATCGGGAACCCACACCTGTGTCCTGATTGCAGAATTACGATCGACAATAATGCAATTTTCAGCAGAGGAACACGTGAAATTGCTTCTCTCGGCCATGAGCCCTTTCTTCTCGTAAAAGAGCTTCACTTCATTTTGTACTCTAATTACTACGATAATGGCGCGGTCTAAGCGGTGCAGGAAATTCTATAAATCGAGAAAATTGAACGGTTCACGAGTACCATTTTAACCCTGCACGTATTACATTTCCATTACATTGCCTCTCTCTTACTTTACAGATTTGTATTTTATCGCTGTGCATCTCTGTGCTTTACATCTCTATCCTTACACTTCTATATTTCTAAATTATTTCTACAAATCTACTCTAAATCTTTGTTCAAATCTTCGTGTCTCCTTGCTTACACCTAATATGTCTTTCAGATGGCACCTGCCGAAAAGTTAAATAGAAAAGTATGGAGAAAATAAAGTCCAAATGGAAGATCCCTTCTTAGGAAACGTCAGACGAAGAAGAAATTGATTCTTCACGAGGGGTCGGATAACAACAAATCTCTCGAATGGAACTCGTGATTTATTTCGTCGCGAGGACGATTTTCTATACGTCGCGTGACTACAATATGAACACTGGTCGTTAGAATCGGGTTATTCTGGTCACATTGTCCTCTTCGTCCTCTTCGCGGATGGTCGCCTCGGTCTGCGTCAATCTGGGACTGCTGGATCTTACGGGATACATTTCGTCGTGTATCCTACGACCTGACGGCGAATTATTCTCGATGTACACGTCGGTTTCTATGCAGTCTTTTTCGTCTTTGGTCCTCCGTTTCCGGTGACATTTTGGACGCGCGTAGGTGAGGCTCGCGTTCGTCTTCTCCGCGAGGCTCGTCCTTGACTAGAAACGTTATTCCCTAAGTTCTTTACGAAATATCTTCTCTGGAGAACTATCTTATAGCTACAGATTTACAGAATTGTCTATTGGAACCTTATAAGATATTTATTTAAAAAACTCAGACAATTGTGTAAGTTTGAGCAATCGGTGACACAGATCTATTAAACACTACAACACTACTAAATTGCGCTAACATTAAATAAACTGAAGCATTACGTCTCTACCGAAATAGCAGTACACATTTCACAGGCAGCATAGGATCAGTCTTGATCTCACCATGTCTCGTCGCATTTGTAAGTCATGGTATTAGATCGGATATCGAGTCGGGATTGGAAAGCTATTGATACGAGGTTGTGCGTGATACGTAACTTGATTATGCTAGACAAAAAAAGCTGCCAAAAATGTGAAAAAAATCTCACGTCCGCATCCTCTATGCAGACTTGTGGAACTGTGTATGAGTTATTCACTTCTCGCATTTCCGAATGATATCCATAATTGTTGTATCCGGGGTTCCTCCTCGTGTCAGAGTTTCTGTATGGTCCCAGGTACTTCTGATGAGGACTGGAACTACCGTAGTAGTTCGGGTACGCAGGTGTCACCTGTAAATTCGTCGTGCTGCCTCCAGCTGGGTGCACGTAGTCGTAAAATGGACGAGTCTGCGTGGGAAGAATTTTTAATAGTCAGAAACTTTTTTAATTTTACTAAATTGTTGTACTATTATACTACATTATACTATTGCATATTATATTAATATTATATTAGTTCTTCATGAACCTGTTCAACTTGTTAATGTTCATATAACAGTTAGGTAATCTCTATCACTCTGTTAAGACAAAAATTAATAATGTAACATTCGAACCTGTCTTCCGATAGTATTGACCCTCGGATCAGCAACTAAATCTGTGGATCCGAATCTCTGTCCGAACTCCTTTCCCCTTGCTAGGTGTTTAATCATGTAATAGGTCCTAGGTATCAGGACACCGATGATGATTAAGTACGCCGTGCCAATAATGCCGAAACAGACGACCATGTCGCGACATTCTGGCTCCACCAGGATGAAGCAGGTCAACCAGATTGCCCAGGTGATTAACAGACCGATCGACGTGCCGAAGAAACACTTTCCTTCCCGATAATTCCGTGGCAATCGCGAGATGAAGAAACACACGACGAACAGGGTGACCAGTAGAAATATATCGTAGCCTGAAATGAGAACGGTTTTGTATGGATTTCTTTTTATGGGGCATAGTCGCCTCCTGAGAAAAAATACGATCGTCGCGACAGGATTCTTTTATTGGAAACGCGAGTGGTAGAAATAAGATCGTGTGTTAAATGGATTGTTGACGAGGACTTCTATCATTGTGATAATTTTCGACTTGCTGAAGTATGAAGGTAACGTTATGCACGTAATTTTAAGTATTATATTTTTATCAAATTCAACTAACATTTCTAAATTTATTCCTCAGGAAGGAAGATGTTATTCCAAGGAAGATGTACGTATCTTGAAGAAAGATTTACCTAGTAAAGCGATAAAAGCGAGGCTCCTCACGACGACGGCCGATTCATCCGCGCTAAGTGCGAAGAACATAACGGACAACGCTATCTGTACGCAGAACATGAAGAACACCATGAGGCCCTGCAGGTATCCGTTTATGTGAGCCGTAAACACGCCACCCTTGGAGAACACCAGAAAGAACGCCCTGGACAGCATCACGGAGAAGTCTATCCCAAAGGCTAACGTCGTTACAAGGATTTTCCTCGAGTTTAATGTCTCAGCGCCCAGGTAATCGTCGTTGATGCAGAACGGTAACACCGTCTGCAAGGTGAAAACATTCGCCAGTATCAGGACGATCGTTAACGCCGGATTCCCATCGAGAACGTCCTCGACGATGAAGCGGTAGATAATGAAGACAGCGATCACGCCGCAGGCGAACGTGCCGCACACCACCATCGTCAGGAAAATTGCTATCCAGTTGCCCGGCTTTAATAAACCCCTGTCGAGTGTATCTGCAACGTACACGCACACGTTAGTTGCCCCATTGTGTCGAAGCGCCGTTTTAAGCGGAAATCTTCGGCCTTATCGAGCAGCTTCGGCTATCGGGACACTTTAACTACCTCTCCGAGGCCGTTTGCGTTTAAAGGGGGATGAAGGGCTCGTAGAAACAGGAATTTGTTATCTTCTAAGGAGGAAAGCGGATGTTTTGTGGAAGCATTTGGGCCACTGATGGGTACTCAATGTTTAATTCCTGTATATTTATAAATTTTTTAATTAAATAATCTGATACTTCTTTTCTTTTTAGGTCAATGGCTTAGTGCATCGCTTGTGAAAAAATCGGTAACAGCAAATCATAGTGCAATCGTTAAAAGGACTTCCTATTTTACCAACAAAAAAACAAGAATGTACTACAGTTACAAACCTTTGGTCACACCACGTGTGCCAAATATCTTCTTGAAGTTCGCACAGTCTTCACAGTTCTTCGCGTATTTCTTCACGCACAGTTTCGGCATCTTCGGCACCCTCGACTCTGGAGAGATCCTAAATTTCGAGTTGGCCGGTTCGATTCTGTACCCGGCCGTATCGATTAACTCTTGCTGGCTCTTCATCGTCACGATATATCTGATCGAGTGCGATTTCGGCAGTATGCGGAGTGCGTTGTACACGTCCGAGTTTCGAATTTCCTGTTTCGAGTGAGTACTGAATCTAGGCAGCAGACAACCCTCGATTACTTTGGGGCAGTTTCGTCTGTGCAGGTCCTGCAGTAGCTGCGCCAGCTCGACGATCGCTTTGCCGATGCCTAGAAGGTGCGGTGAGTAGATGACGGAGCTGCTGGCTGTCTGGAGGAAGTCCTCCGTGGATGAGGCTTCCTGTAGCAGGTCCAGGTCGAACGGCATCGTTCTGATGACGTAGGAGCCTGGAGGAACTAGGTCTGAAAGAGGAATTTGAAGAAAATTTCCAAATTCGATTAGCAAGGAAAAATATTCTCACCATCGACGTTCGATCCATCGAGGGTTAAAATGACCCAGGTCTTCCTAGCTCCCTGAAGCTTCTCTCCTCTTTCGATCCACTGTCGTACATCGCTCCTGTGTCCGATCACAGCGATCACAACTTCCGTATCGTTTTCGTCCAGCTCTAAAGTATCTCCATAACGTTTCACACAAATACCAGCCTCCTTAGTCGCATCCAGGAATAAATTTAGCGCGTAATCAGAGCTGGCTAGTAATAGATGGACTGTCTCGAATCTGGTAGTTAAGTAATGCACCATCAGGCTGATCAAGGGCTTTGTTAAATTCTGCTCGTCGTACGTGCTGATTGGCAGTACGCTGTAATTATGAAGTGGCTCTAGAATCATTAGGTATTCTGACGGTAACAATATACCCATTTCGTAATGATCCTCGCAGTCGGAGTCTACCGCCGTTTGCAATGCTTGCTTGTACACCGTCATCTCATCGTGGCAGGTATCGAAGACTTTTAAACCTGAAAGGATGATTAGCAATTATGCGAATAACAGTTTATATGTTTGATCTAGTTATACGAGAGCAAAGAAGCACAAATCACTTGCAAAGTTTAGCTAATTTACCTAGAGTAAATCCAGATGTGAACTCGTACTTGTTCAAAGCGTGTATCACGTAAGACGCCGTGAAAATCTCTTGCAGACCCTTGGTAGACGTGCTGTTACAGTACGGTCCATGATTAACATCCACAAACACTGCAATCATACGTAAATACATAATCAGAAATCACTTAATCGAGCATAACGACTCTTACCAGATAAAACAGCATCCCCAGGGATCTCGAGCACGCTTCGATTCTTGGAACACACGTCTATGTCATCAATGGCGAGCGCCAATTGCAGAAGACTCAAAAGAACTCCTACTTTTGATAACATCATCGCAACACGTGTCCAAGTGGAGCGTTCAACAATTTGTTCACCTTCAGCAAAGATATGAGTAAGGGCTTGTTATCGTGCAAACGGAACGTGTCATTGTATCGTGTTTAATCGATACCCCATTCAGGGGCACGAGGACCCCACAAGTAGCTCGATTCTAGCTGCAAGAATTGCCATTATCGAGCGTTTGGTGGCTCGGTTCTTTTCAGGTGAGCTCTCTTTATTTGTCGCGTTTATCGCCACGAAGAAACAGTTTCATGGTTTTGTCCCGTAGCTCCCCAAGGAGTCCCCCGTTAAACCAGGAGGCGATCGGGTTGAAAACGACGACAGGACACGCAGGACACGCTACTTATCGTGATGAGTATCCACCGCAAACGCGTTATCCGCATTTGTTCCGATCGGATCCATCAAATCGCGTGATAAAGACCACTCCGGGGATAACAATTGGCCGGGAACACGCTCTTCCACCGTGTGTGTTTACGATTATCATCGGCCGCATTTCAGGTTAATAGCGACGTGCTCCACTTTGGATCCACCTCGAATCTTTCACCTTCCAAACAATTTTTCTACAATCACTTTCCTTCAATCTCAACTGTCCTTAGCTAAAATCTTCCATTTCTAGGATGTTTCCAAATGAGACTGACATCGGAAAGAACAGGGAAGAGGTGTCCATCTTACCACTCCGTCAAAGACATCTCCAGCTTCGAGCATTTAACTTGGAAACGTCGGAACTAGTACAAAACATGTCCACTAACGAAGTGGCAGGGAACTATAGTTTCTTTATGCACTTGCCATGTCGATAACGGTTCATCGATCGATCACCTTATCAGTCACATGTACATGACTCCTCGCAGGTCCTCCAACTTGTTATTCACGAACGGGTCTCCAAAAACAAGATCCAAAGTACTCCACTTTATCAATCTCGCTCCACGGTAAACATCCTGATCAAAGTTTCTTTCCGATGCTATCAGCCTAGTTCCAAGTCTTTCTCATCTATTTCGAAGTCCGGTTCACTGACGGAGAGTCTTAGCTATCCAAGTCAGACAGGCTGGTGTTCGCGACTGGAAAGTTTCCAGTAGAAGGACAGGGGTCCGACTGAACGACGCTGTTTTTCGGCCGTGCTACGGTATAAAAGTTTCATGACTGCTGCGAGGGGAGCAGCTGGTGCACTGCACACGACAGTGACCACCACGGAAGCCATACCTCGGCAACTCTCCCCCTTTTCTAAACGTATTACACGTTCAGTCACGTTGAGTTCTGCAGCCATTTAAGCGGTGCACATGCGATCTAATTGACAGCCGGGGACACTGTTCTTCTTGACGGGGACACCCTGGCCCGGTTCAATCGACTCCCTCCCTCGTCGATGATCAAAAACGACAGCGAGACCCCCTGTAAGGGTAACCTACTTTAGAGATTCGTGTCGACGGCCTTTTCCTTGACTCTTGGTTGAGTCATCTTCCTATTGTAACCCCGTAATTTGTTTACCAGTCTATACAGGACAAATTAATTCTTAAAATTGAAGGAACGAGTCGTTAATTTCGTGGGTGACGATTTTTGGCATGCGAATGTAGGACAGAAAGATTGTTCCTTTAGAGATGAAAATTTAGGATATGATTTATCAGTTGACAGAAATGGTTGTTTTGCTCAGTCAAATTTGAAGGATATTCGGTACAATTAGAAACGAGAGAATTTGATTTACTGCGATTTTTAGTAGCAGTTTAAGAATTGTAAAGAAATCTTAAAAGGTGATAGTTGACACTCAAGGCCTCATTTCCACAGAGAAGAAATAGGTGACAAAGTCTAGCTGCTAATTATCAGATTATGAACAACCGTAATCGAAGGTGACAGGGCACCAAGGTTCTTCTCCTAAAAAAAGAACGACCTAGTTTAAAGCATATGTGCTCTACTGACGTTCAAATTTGAACTAAAAAAAAATGTTCAAATTTCCAAAGCATCAAGGTTGGTATCAAAATTAGAGTAACAGCAATTGTACATAACTTTATATAGCAGTTGTACATAAATTTTATTCATCAAATATTGCAACATCAATTTAATATTATAATATACAGCAGACAATATATAAATTGCACAATAGATAAATTAATATAAATAAAAAATTTTTAATATCAAATTTTGTGTTCTTACAGGAATGAGCTGATTTAAAAAAAAAAATGACGATGCGATTTTTAATACCCGGTTGGGAATGCTCGTTTTTCGAACTATTTCACCGGCGAAGAAAGAGAGGGAGCCTCGATCATTGCTCGCAGCCGTCCCCGGTATTCCAGGGCACCGAGTATCGACTAGACACGGTTCGAACATCGAGGAACCACTCTCCTGAATTGTTCAATTTATTAGCGTAGTCGTGGTTGAAAATCTAGAACAAACTATGAGGATAACTGGCGTGGGTCGAGACCGTCTATAAATTTACTCCTAGACTTCGAAACTTGAGATTCCATCCGCGGAGAGTATCAGTCTGAAGGAGGTCGTTCTCCGACCGCTTCGATCTGTATAAATGGTTGCTCGACTCGAGCGCCAAGGGGTAGTTTTCTTACATAGTTAACACTATTGTCATGAAACATCTTATCATTTTTTCAGTATACATGTATATGTAATATGCAAACATTAAGATGACAATGTAAGCTTACATTGAAAAATCTTGTCAATGAAGCTGTTCAGATAATAATTTAAATGTAGGTACACGCTTACATGTCTGCATGTCTATATGTCTACATATCTACATGTCTACATGTCTCATAAAGTTCTCAAAGAATTCTCCAAACGCTTCTTCGTACCAGATAAGGGTAGGCAATTAAGGACAACGATTACTCTCAGAGATTTATTGTTACGCATCGCAAACAATGGATTTTAATTAACAGCCGCGATAATGCGCTTCTCTTCTCATCGGTCCAAGCATTATCGTAACGGGTCTGTGTCAAGGTCTGCCCATAACGCAACTGTGCACCGTGGCAAATGTTTCCGTGTATAGGAGACGACAGATCGCAGCGTTATTGTCGAACGACATCTCGCCCACTTTGAACTCTGGATTTACCGCGACCTGAAAACGTAAATATCGTTCGATTACGTTCCTCCTCTATGGTATCGCGATTGCTCGGCTTCACGACTTTATGGACCAGAACTACCCCAGCTCTATTTTATCCGAATGTACACGATCCTCCTCCGCGCCATTACCGTCCTCGTTAACCGACGATGATCTTTCGTTATCTTCCTTCTTACGCAATTCCTTTCTTTTCGAAACATGGACTTGTGTTATAATAAATTCTAGCGTAAGTTTATGTTTAATTCTAGTGTATTTGTCTACATGCTACTATTTTTTTAGGTTCTCACGATACGTAATTATGTGTGCTGTTAATTCTACGGACTGGCATTGTATATAAGGAAGTAATACATTAATGAGGATATAAAGCAAGGAGCTTTACGGAGGTAAAACTTTTGTAAGTATTAAACGTCTCTATTAATCTGCTAATAATGTGAAATGATACTCCGCTAATAATGTGAAATAATAATCTGCTAATAATGATAATCTGTTAAATATTTTGCAGATACCTTGAAGACGTATTCACCAGGCAGTAGTTCGGAAATGTCCACCCACTGGCAATCGATATTGTGTTTGTATATGTCGCTACAATTGACGGAGATGCCTTGGTCACCGTAATTGGCGCATTTGTACCTGAAATCGTAGCGTGCTCGCTTTAATTGGCTCGCCAATTAGACGCGTCACAAGCACGAAAAATCATTGCGATTCCGGCATCACTTAGCGTGTACATACACGCGCCGTCGGCCGAGAAAGCAAGCAAACGGATCGTTTTGCTAACGAGACTAATTACGTTTACCTCGGCTTCACTCCGTCCAAGCATTGATTGTCCTCCAGGCAAAAAGACGCTTTGTGACCCTCTGCGAGTCTGCTACCGTTCCTGTCCAATACGTCGAACGTGGCGAACACCTCCATCGAGTGATAATGCCTGTCGTTAACAAGGCATAATGTGAAATTAACGATCGAGCTGGGCCTCCTCCATGATTGTCGTTCACACTTTGATACGGAACGACGATAAAACGATCGATTCTGGGAAACAGATAAGACACCGTTGCCACAGAGAACGAACTTTGTCAGGGACATTATCCTTGGGAAGTGCCATCGATTTCGTCCGAGTCGTTAACACGTTGAGTGCTGCGAGCCTCTAATATTGTTTGTTGAACCTGTATTCGCTCGTGTCGACTCGTCGTTTCTCATTTTAGGATGCTATTTTAAATTTATTCTCGAGATGATGCTTGAGATAGGAGACAAATATTAACAGAGGATGTTAATGCATTTGGAGCTTGTTATTCTTCGTTTTGGAATTATGGTTTTACTCTTAAAACTTGTACTATAGGTATAACATCTTGATTGATACAATTTGGTATGAAATATTATGATGTTAACAAATTTTACTATTAACACATTTGTCTTGAAACTAATCCTCTCTCCTTTGCAGGTAAACTTGCTGCTATATTCTGACAATGGAATTTGTGATATATTGAACTTGTAACTCTCACGAAAATTAACTCTGAAGAACACGTGAACTTTCCGTAAAATTTTGACGTCAAAAATGAAACAACCCGTGAAGTTGTTTTCGTTTTTATGGATCAACAACTCCGTTAATCAATTTCGAGGGAAGAAGATAGACGAGGCGTTGAACATCCACATCTTTCCATAAAAGCACGATTGACGTCACCAGCGAAGTTATGTTACAACTTAAAACCATCAACGCAAGGTTTTTTCGACTGGTCAATATTTCCACACATTGAAGAGCAGCGTGGATGATAAACCGTCGTTACCAGAAGAGGAACGCCTCCGCGTTGGACCGTCGAAGATTCAAAATTAGTCCGAGTTACAACGAAACAGACGGCGAATTGCCAACGGGATCGAAGCGATATTACTTTTTTTCCTGCTCTCTTCCATTCGTGATTGTTTTATAAAATGGCTTGCAAGCCGGTTGCCAGACAAGGATAATAACCTGGAGAAATTGTAGCAGACAACCAAGTTCTCGCGTCTAACTTCTGGCCGACAGCAGTCGGGTATAATAGCGAACGAAAAAGGTCTCATATTTCTGTCCAAAGTGAAATCGAATATGATAGCTTGCAAAAGTGTTTGAATATTAATACTATGACTCTTCCATTCGCTGCATATGGCCATCTTATTGCAAATTACTTTATTTAAATACTAGTTACATTAGAAATGATAGACTAGTATCAGGTAAGAAGAAACTTTACGACTTTCTCTGCACGATTTATCACTCACATGTGACACATATGCCATTCCCATAGGTGTTTCGGCACGGAGGGTCGGAAGTCCGCGGTCCCAGCGTTCAAGATCCTCGCGGTGAACCGAAGCAACCTCCTAGTCTCCAGGTGCCAATTTTCCGACTCCTTCTGAATCTTATATGCCTGCGAAGCAACGCAATTCTCTTCCATGGCACACTGCAGCCAATACAACTGTCTATCTTCCAGGTGGGCCGTACGCATCAACTCGATATGATCAAACACCAAATCTGGCATCTCCTGGAGACACACCACACTGGCCACATTTTCTGCGGTTCCTACGAACAATGCAAATTTGGAATTCGATGTAGTTTTGGGTTGTACGATCGTTTACCTGGACACTCGAGGACCTTGTCGTGCAGACAGTCAATCAAGTTACTCTCGTCTCCGTGACACTGCACGCCGCTGAGAGTCATCGGTGTCTTCTGGCCACCGAAGAAGTTCGTCTGAATGGCGTCGGAGGCGTAACCGAGGCCCAATTGTCTGCAAACCACTGCCGCCTCGAACAGGGACCAACCGTCACCGCAGACTACACCCCAATCTAAAATGAAATTATCTTCAGCTTCTTTTCAATCTTCAGGGAAAAGAAAAAACTTGGTGCTATATTTGGAGGATTTGAGAATAGAATGCTTTGACATCCAATACGCTACAACGAGTGCACAACAAATAGAATGACAAATTAAATAGATACAAATAATAGTACGTCTGGTAATTTACGAACATGTGTGCTTCAAAGACACAATCTAGAACTCGTAATTTAGCGAATCACAAAGGAACTTTTCTGTTAAAACTTGCATCGCCTCTCACCGGCAGTGAGACACGTTGCACACGAACCGTCATTTCTAATCGCAACAATCCAATTTACCTTCACGCCAAAGGCACGTATCGACATTAGTGTTACCTGAATGTCCAAGTTTGACCTCGACTCTACCCTCGCTGTGGACTCGTCCACCGACCAGTCTTATCGCCATTCCCCGGTGATGTACATCCTTGATTCTCTGTTTTTCTGGCTTCCTTCTGCCCTTCGTTCGTCTTATCGTTTCTTCTTCGTTCTGTTCCTCATGGGCGCAAATTACACCTGCAGCCTCGCTGTTCTCGCAGTCGGATGTACCCCATCCGTCGAACCGACACTTGGATAATTCATCCTCGCTGCCGTCGCAGTACACGTTGTCCATCCAATACCTTCCTGATAAAAAGACATTTATATTCGCTGTTTTTTTATCGTGCAAATGTAACACTGATCCTTTGCGATTTGATCTAAAGAAGATACTTCTTTCATAACTCTATTCGAAAGAGTATGTATGTGATTTTTTCGACCTTCGAATACTTTTATTGCAACTAGGGGAAGGTAAATTGACCTCGATTAATAGGAAAAGGTGAAAGAGCTGCAGCTACGTTTACGCTAAATTAGCTTATCGATTGTCGATTTCATTCTTTACACTTCCTCGAACAGCAAATCTTGAATAGAACATAGCGAAATAGATTTCGTTAGATCACGTTTGTCAAATAAAAAAATTTGAAAGCAAATCAAAGTGGGCTATATAATATTTAAAAGTATATTTACAGTTTTATAGAACCGCAAAGAATCAGATTTAGCCGAACGTGAAGGGACAAAGGATCAAATAAGGGATGAACTTGTTACGCTTAATTGACAAGGTTCTATTTCTCCGTTGCAGATCCTATTTATTTCCGTTCACGTGGCAGAAAAGGAAGTATTGACGAAGAGACAGTATTATCTCACTTCTGGCTTGACCAAAGTGACCGTTCGTCGTTGGTTTAATTGCACCGTCGAAGCCTAATTGCCTGCAAACCACATTGGCCTCCAAGTAATCCCATTCGTCGTCGCATATACTGCCCCATTTCCCGTCGTGAAGTATTTCCACGTTTCCTGCATAACCAATCGAATTATGGCCTTAACACGTTTCCCGGCTCCTGCATGGTTTACGGTAAACTTTGGAGAACAGACTCGATTAGGTGCCTCATTCTATCAGTTCATTAAAAATTAGACCGCTTATTTTGACACTGGTGTTCCATTTTTAAAAAAAAAATGAGATGTCAAGTAATTTATGCTTAATTTAAAAATTGGACCATTTATTTTAACAGTAGTGGTCCTTTTCTTTTAAAGAAAATGAGATGTCAAGTAATTTATGCTTAATTTAAAAATTGGACCATTTATTTTAACAGTGGTGGTTCATTTTTTATAAAAAAGATGAGATATTATATAATTTATGCTTAATTTAAAAATTGGACCATTTATTTTGACAGTGATGGTCCATTTTTTAAAAAGATGAGATGTCATGAAATTTATGCTTAATTTAGTGTAAACTTTTTTTATGGACTTGCACCATTTTCATAATAAACGGTTCAATAATTTGCGTTGTCTACTTAATAATCAAATCATATTTTCTCGTATGCAAACATTTTTATATTCATATATTTTCAGGACAGAATTTAAGGAAGAATTTAAAAAAGGAATCTCTTCAATTATGTAATAAATTGTCTCGAGATTTCCACCAGAAATCTCACAAACGAAGTGATACAGTTTCTGGGAAAACGAATCAAGGGACGTTGTAAGCGGGTGCAGAATTGGCAAGAAAGAAGAAGAAAGGCAGCACGGAATGTAATATCCAATGGATGGGTAATAAAAATTGACACGCGAGCGTCTGGGACGGTTTCTATCCTGTTTTATGGTTCAATTCGACGATGGTCGTATACCACCTCGTGGCTGTTCGCGGTTCTGTGGCTGCGTGACGTTTACTACTACCACGCTGACACACAGTCGTTGACATAAATCATCCTCGAGTTGACCCCTTTTTAATCGCCATTACACAACGTGCACGAGAAAACGCCTGATGAAACCGCAACGTTTCACGTAAGTCATCTATTCCTAGATAGCGTGCTTTTATTTTATCGCGAAACGTCAGACACGCGAACCGTGCCTGCCCTTCAGCCCCCTATTGCTTTCGATTTTATTTTCGCTCTTGGAAGTCAAGAACACCGTGTGAATTGTACTAAATTTCTTATTCTTCTGTTTGTTCAGCTATTTGATAGCGAAAGCGGTTCTTTTTATTCATGAATTTTGAATTTTAGGTTCCATATGGCGGCTCTGCGAAGACACCTTCAGCTTTGGAAGTTCGGAGATTAGAAATCTAGGAAATTTGGGATCTTGAAATTCTGGAAATTCGAGAGATTGAGAATTGTAATTTGGAAGAATATGCAATAATTTCCTGTTACCTGAATGTGCACCCTCACCGCCCACAAGCTTCACGGCGCCCTCCTGTTTCTTCAATTTCCGGAAGTCCTTGCGCAGCTTCTTCACCATACGCGCCTTCTTCTCCCGAATCTTGTCCCAGGTGCTATTAAACCCAAGACACACATCTGGCAAAATTAACATAGTCAAGAACCCAAGAAAAATGAACCTTCTCCACTTCATCATCGACCCCGGTCACTCAACCACTAACATAATCTAGTAATCGTCTGAAACGAAATTATCATTCTATTAACATCGGTAACAAATCTTTCCTTTGAAGACGGTGTTAAAATCACGCCACGTGTATTTCGTTTACAGAGTATCACGAGAGACTGGTTACGTTGATCACGCGATGGAATATCCAATCTTTGCTCCAGCTGGAAGGCGAGAGCGATCTCGAAGAGTTACGCGTCTACAGTGGAACACTTTGGACGATCAGCACATGGTAGATCGCTTTTTCTAGCCTCCCTTCCTTTTCCTTCTCGACGTGGGATCCGATGGATCCATTCGACAGCTTACGTTGAGTCAGTCTGATGGAATTGGCAGATTTCCTCCATTTCATTGATTCAGATGTTACAAGGACTTTTAGCGAGATTAATTTAATATACGGACTCCATTTATAGCTGCTGATCATTCTGTTAATTGCGGAAGAGGACTTGATTCAGCGACTCAACTATAATTTTTCAATATTCTTTTACGTTGCTGAAGTTTACTTCTGACAAGATCCCTCTTCGACTCAAACGTTCCAGGATGATGAAGCTTTCAGGATTTTTCGAATTCCTTCCAAAGTTTTGAGTGTTTACTATCGTTTATCATGTTACATGGTCCATCGACTGTATTTAGTCGAAAGATAAGGCCTGTAAACACCTCATACATTGTACCCGATGATTCAAAAAGCGAGCACGGGGTTTTTTCTCGGACGAATCCAACATCTCGAGTATCATCCGTCAGCGGCGAGCAAGGCAATTCGATCTGAAGAAAAAGATCCGAAGCTTAGAAGAAAGCCATGGTGGCCTGTGGAGTGTGGTTCTCGTTACTCGATACACCGGTCTCCTATCGTTTGCATAATCGTGGGTCACCGATCGTTTATACTGTGGACGCGGTCAAAAATTGCTAGCCTTATTATCAGATTTCCAATAATCAAATGTTTGTGAACTATGAATGAATTTAACTATTAATGAAATCTTAATGAGATGTTCAGAAAATACTAATGAGATGCTCCAGACTAGGTAATTTTGTTAGAGTTAAATAATTGCTGGCACCTGGAAGTATATGAGAATTAATTTTTCAGGATAATCGAGAGGTAACAACGTGTAAGATATTGAAGAAAGAAGAGGTTGAATATCATAGATAGGTCGGATGGTTGGCTTCGCTCAAACTTTTTCACCGTTCTCCACTTGTTCATGACCTCACCGTCGCCAGCCGGGCGAGGACGAAGCAAAAAATCGTATAATTCAAGTAACAGGCCGCTTTTGACATGGTTCGTTTCGTGGCGTAACACGACCAACCAATTATCGTAAGCTATTAGTGAAAACGACCCACGGCTAAATTCTTGACATACTTCTGATATGAGGCATGCCTGTTGGGGATGGCGAGGGATGAAGAGGAGCTTCTTAAATCCGCACGACACTCGACCAGGAGTGGCCTGAAATTTCGACGTACGGCAGAAAATTAAACCTTCGGTTATTTTACGAAGCTTTAATTTGACCTGGAGCGAATTTCGACTATGAAATAATATCGACGTAATTCGTGATAATACACACTGCGTTATTACGTAAAAAGAAGAGGAGGAAATTAATTTATTTCGGTCGTAAATTACAAAATTGTATACGCGAGAGAAAAACTGTATCGCCTTTCTGTCTCAACAACAATAGCGAATATCGTAAATCGTGGTGCCTGGTGTAACGCGCTATAGCAGTTGAATTATAGTTCTCGATGCCTTCTAACCGCAACCGCAACCATTAATGACATACATGACTGATACACCAGATGCATTGTTGCTCCGGCCTCGCTTCTTGAATTATTCGTTTTTGCGTACGCGAAGGGGATAATTTTAGCGCGGACCGTACGAGAATCCAAATTAGAGTCGGTTGGTAAAGGCGTGAAAAACGCGCGGCAACTTTCCTACTTGTACGCGCCGCGTCATCTCACGTTGGAGATTTCAACAGATCCCACTACGATGTATCTTTTATTTACTTTCTTATTTCGTTTTTCAAAATACCACGAGTATTTCTTCCACGATGTTTCTGAAAGAACGGCCAATGGTAACTTTGAGGGTGGCAGCAAATTACGGTGACACATTTCTTTTAGTGAACTGTATAACATTCTTTATTCTTGTCAATTATTTTAGACTTTACTGATTTAATGTCTTAATAGAACTATAATTATATTTTACATATTAGTAATATGTTACAGATTATTGTTTGCACGTAGGTAAAATTACATGTATATAAAATTTAAATAAAAATAAATAAATTAGACGCTTAAATTGTGTAACAGATTCAATTAAAAGTTTCGATAAAAGCAATGAAACAAAAATAAAATAATACTGTATCGATAAGCGATAAAAAAGACTTTTCTTTTGATGGCGTTCAAATTTGGCGCGCGAACGCCGAAGTAAGATGGCGGGCGCGAGGATCGCACCCGCAGTCGGTATCCGAAGAGGAACCTAGGGACTCTACCACGCCCAATCGGAGTCGTCCGCGCGTCTATCGCCGTCTCCGTCGCACTGATTCGGGTGGAGGCGTCGTCCTCGGTGTCCTAACATGTCCCCTCCACCTAACCTCTTCATCCGTGGCGGTGCATCGCGACTCGAAACGGAGCATGCCAGTCAGTCGGTTTTTATCCAGCGGACGGGACGGTGCGTGGCGGTCTGGTGCGAGTGGCA